AGGCCAAAAGCATGGATTCAATAGCAGCGGTTAGTGCTAACTATACTTGTTTTCAATAATAATAATCTAACGCAATTACTCCAGTCGGCCCAGATTGTCCTTCACATCCAACGGGAAATGGCATTGCACACCGACTACTGTGCCTCATTTGGCCTTACCAGGCAGGAAATGGAAGATACACCCGAAACTCTTGGTAGGCCAGTCATATTTTTTTATAAAATCGACAAATATGCTAATCTCAATATGTACAGCTTGCACCGCATACAGCCGATACATTCTGGATATAGGCCAATCAGAGGATTGGCTAGCCCTCCAAATGGCCCTCGCACCATGCTTGATCGGATATGGCGCCATTGCAAAGCGGCTTCATACCGGAGAGGCAACTCTCCGCGAGGGGAACACGTACTGGAAATGGATCGAGAATTATGTTGCTGACGACTACACGAAGGCTGTACAACTGGGTTCAGGTAAGTCAAGGACCATGAAAAGCAAGTGGAATATCTAATTGACTCGTGTTATAGCATTGCTGGAGGATCACATGCAACACGTATCCCCTAGTCGCATGGAAGAACTGATTAAGATATTTATTCGGGCTACGGAATTGGAGATTCGTTTCTGGGATATGGGCCTCGGAGACAATGCGCAATAGACCTTCAAGATCTCTGTCTGTTATTTACACTCATCACGAAAATAGATTGCGTTTTCAATTTTAAAATTGCAGTGACCACCTTTGTGACCTTTGCTGGTTGCAGCTTGGTTGATTTACAGTGACTGGATATAAGTAATTGCATCCCCTTTGGCCATATCTAGTTCACCGCCATACCGCCTTTCTAAAAACGCGTAGTATCCATAAATCAAATCGCCCTAAGAAGTACGCGAAGCTGCTTTTTCCGCGAGTAAAAGGCTGTATCATTCACTCCTAGACCTTCAAAACTAGTGCTTTTACATATGCCATATCTGTCAAAGGTTACACATAGAAACGTGGTTTTCAGAATCAAGCCTCCCACCGCCTTTTTCTGCCTTCGAGTTATAAAACTGAGCAGTAGAAGAAAATATCTAAAGGAAAAGACATTTAGAAAAAGAAGAACATCACAAAGACTGCCGAGGAAAATGCATCATATAGCGTTTAAGCGGCCTACTATCCTTGTAGAGATGAACATAATACACTACATATGGAGTTTTTTTTTGTCCGGCAGAATATTATATATGGTGCTGGAGGCGGGGTGCAATTACTTATTACTCCGTACATTGAGAATAACCACACTTCGCGTTATCTGCTTCTAGAATGATGTACATTCAAATATTCTACACATATAACATCACTGAACTATCAACGTTGAATTCCCCAATGTATTCGCCTCAATAGACGATTCTCCAAAATCTAGATAGCATTCCTTCAGATTTTGTCGCCACTGGCAAGTTCGCGAAAGAGACTATTTTGCCATCCCCTGTATGTTATTACCTACATAGGTATTTGCCTCCTTTAATATCCATGGACCATCCATCCTAAAAGTTTTCCTGAAGGTTCTGCCTGAGGTCTCGATAACAGTCAGCCAATCAAAATCAAAATAGACAAGAAGGATGAAAGCGGCGAGTACCGACTAACCCTACTTAGGCAGGCGGTTTGAAAGGTACCTTGTTCCAGGCTCTTGTCATGTGATGATACAAGGAAGAAAGGAAAAAATACAAAGAGACGCTAAACCTAATTGAATTTTTACTCGCGCCTTCCTCCCCTGGCAGTTTTTTTATTTTTTTTTTCTCTCCTTCTTTTTCTTTCAAGTTCCCGACCTTTTCTTACCTTTTTCTTGAACTTGTCTTTCTTTCTCTTCATTCTCTCTACTCTTCCCATCTAATACCTCTATTTATCTCTCTCTCTTTCTCCCCTCCAACCCTTTCACAGACTTGATTATGTCGTACGGAGGTGGCTACTCTCGCGGCGGCGGCGGCGGCGGTGATTCCTACCGGTAAGTTCATTGTCACAGACACTTTTCTTTGTCTTATTCTGTCTACCTCATCAAATGCATGGTCTTCTGGCAAAAGCCGCGAGCTTGCAGTTCGTGATGGTACTGGGCATCGGTATCCTGATGTCCTGATTTCCCAATACGAATAGACACATAAAGGAAGAATTTGTGCTAACTTTGGTAATCTAGCTCCCGCGGTGGTGACGGCGGCTACTCTAACGGTGGCTCCGGCGGTGGTGGTTATGGCGGTGGTGGTGGTGGTTACGGTGGTGGCCGTGGAGGTGGTAGCAGCGGTGGTTACGGTGGTGGCTACGGCGGTGGCGGTGGTGGTTACGGTGGTGGTGGTGCCGCCGGTGGTGACCGCATGAGCAACCTCGGCGCTGGCCTGAAGACTCAGGACTGGGGTAAGTTCATTCCAACGGTGAACTTGACCGTTCGTTTGCGCAATACTAACTTCATTTCCACTTAGATCCCAGCACTATGCCCAAGTTCGAGAAGTCTTTCTACAAGGAGCACCCTGATGTCACTGCGCGCTCCGAGGAAGATGTTCAAGCCTTCCGTAAGGAGAAGGAGATGGCCATTCAGGGTACCAACGTGCCCCGTCCTGTCCAGAGCTTTGACGAGGCTGGTTTCCCCGCGTACGTTCTGTCTGAAGTCAAGGCCCAGGGCTTCGACGCTCCTACTGCCATTCAGTCCCAGGGCTGGCCCATGGCTCTGTCCGGTCGCGATGTCGTCGGTATTGCCGAGACTGGTTCCGGCAAGACTCTGAGTTACTGTCTCCCCGCTATTGTTCACATCAACGCCCAGCCTCTCCTCGCCCCTGGCGATGGTCCCATCGTTCTTGTTTTGGCTCCTACTCGTGAGTTGGCTGTCCAGATTCAGGCTGAGATTACCAAGTTCGGAAAGTCTTCCCGCATTCGCAACACCTGTGTCTACGGTGGTGTTCCCAAGGGTCCTCAAATTCGTGACCTGTCTCGCGGTGTTGAGGTTTGCATTGCCACTCCCGGTCGTTTGATTGATATGCTCGAGGCTGGCCGCACCAACCTTCGCCGTGTCACTTACCTCGTTCTTGACGAGGCTGATCGTATGCTTGACATGGGTTTCGAGCCTCAAATTCGCAAGATCATCGGCCAGATTCGTCCCGATCGTCAGACCTGCATGTGGTCCGCTACCTGGCCCAAGGACGTCCGTCAGCTCGCTTCTGATTTCCTCACCGACTACATTCAAGTCAACGTCGGTTCCACCGATCTTTCCGCCAACCACCGCATTACACAAATTGTTGAGGTCGTCTCTGACTTTGAGAAGCGTGACAAGATGATCAAGCATCTTGAGAAGATCATGGAGGACCGCTCTAATAAGTGCATTATTTTCACTGGCACCAAGCGTGTCGCAGATGAGATTACCCGATTCCTCCGTCAAGACGGATGGCCTGCGCTTTGTAAGTTTTCGATAGGTTTCCACTGGCAAATGTTCGTGGCACTAACATATTCTCCAGCTATTCACGGTGACAAGCAGCAAAACGAGCGTGACTGGGTCCTGAACGAGTTTAAACAGGGCAAGAGCCCCATCATGGTGGCCACCGATGTGGCCTCGCGTGGTATTGGTATGAACAAATTACATCCCCCCTCCCTCTCCCCCTCCCTCCTTCTTGTCCCCCCTTAAGGGGCCCTTGAAAAACACTCACCCGTGTTGACGTTGTGTTCTACAATGGCACGGTGCTCAACTCTCTCGAAGCGCGTCGGTGTATACGCCACGTTCAGGCGCATCTGGTCATCCTAAATGGTTCACATGCCAAGAGGACCTTGGACTCACAGTGCAGCACAGCAGCAGGCATTCTAGCCTGACTTTGATTCTCCATCTCTTGTGTGACAGACTCGTACGAGAGTCGAAGTTTTCTCACACAGCGTTGTTCTTGAACTGTTGAACTGTTGAAGGCTGTATTTCCAAGGTTGCTCTAGGACCACGATAACACCGCCATCCCATGGATTCGCTTTCCTTGGGATTTTGGATTTTCTTTCAAAGAAACCTATCAAGAGAGCAGTGATGCATCAAGTCCTGCACGACGGAGAAAGGGTCCTTCATGGCCACACTCCTCATACCCCCCACTAATGTTCTATTTGCTAACGAAATTCTTAAAAGATGTGCGCGACATTACTCACGTGCTCAACTATGACTACCCCAACAACTCGGAGGACTATGTCCACCGTATTGGTCGTACTGCTCGTGCCGGTGCCAAGGGTACCGCCATTACCTTCTTCACCACTGACAGTGAGTTCACCATCCGTGTCTTGAACATCAGCCAGATGTACTAACTTCCTTTCTCTAGACTCAAAGCAGGCTCGTGACTTGGTTACCATCCTCACCGAAGCTAAGCAGCAGGTTGATCCCCGTCTTGCCGAGATGGTTCGCTACGGCGGCGGCGGTGGCGGCGGTGGTCGCTGGGGTGGCCGTGGCCGTGGTGGTGGCCGTGGCCGCGGCGGCTACGGCGGCGGTGGCGGTGGTTTCACTGCTTCTAACGCTGCTCCCGTCGGCGGTAACCGTCGTTGGTAGATGTGTCGCTACTGCTCCCCGTGCAGTCAGCTACCACGCCTTGTATTGTGCTATTCCGGTAGACCCTTTCTCATTTCTTTGGCTTCATGCGTAACTCAGGCAGGACGGCGTTATCTTTGATGTCATAGATAGTTTTCACTTATTTTTCTTTCTTTCGTCCCTATGTTACAGGGGATTTTTCACGGTCTCGGATTTCGATTCATCAGTTCTAGTGGGATTCTAGAGGTTGAATTCTGACGGCGAATCCATACATGTTGATTAGTTTCAAAAAGTTCCATGTCTCAGAGCGTTCACTGAAGTCTCTGATCTCAATCTGCAATAATGATTATTCTTTACCTTCATACATTCATTTCAGTGTTTCCCCAATAGCCTCGAATCTGTAACAAATGTATTTTTATAGATAAGCCTGAGAATGTGCCGGCATGTACCCCAGTAGTAGTATAACTATTTTCTATCCGCAACCCTTATACTATCCTTGCAACCATCTTCCTACCCCCCTGCCAAAACCTCATGCACATGGCTTGTCATATGACCCGAATTGAACCAGAAATACTGCTCCAACGATGTCGGACACCCATACTTCTCATACTCATCCGCAATATCAGGCTGATCATACCCAGCACAGAAGTTCGTTGTATTCACGATGCCATATTTATGGGGCTCATCAAGCATAGCCGCCAGTCTCGCATGGGCATCAAAAAGCATGACCTCCGCCTCCTTATGCTTCTTCGCAAATGCAGCCGCATGGCCTGCCAGCGCGTCATTGTACCACCCGACCTGTGTAGCGTTCGGACTCGGGTTAACCTTTGCTTGGTTCCCTGGCGTGCGGTCTAGCGGCGGCAGATTCATGAAGAGATAGTTTTTGTAGCCCAGGCTGTAGAGGGTCTCTACAGATGCGAAGAGTGTATCCATGAGGCTTTTGTAGAAGGTTGGGAAGTCGACGGCGTATTTGGCGCTGTCGCCCATATCGTTGATGCCGATCCAGACGGCAATTAGGGTTTTGTCTCGTTTGAAGCCTGGTAGGTGGTGCGTCAGGGCTGGGTGGCCGTATTGCTTGAATTGGTTTATTTGGTCGACTAAAGAGACTGTAAAGTTGTGGTGAAGGGGTGTGCTTGGGTTCGGTTAGTTGGAGTTGTTTGTGAATTAGGGCTGGATGTTTTTTATGTTTGTACTTACTATTCGGTTGATATGTCGGCGCCTCCAAATGCAAAGTCCCAGAGTTGCTTTTTGCAGGTTTGGGGTGAGGTGAGGCCTTTGCGGACGCCGCAATTCGTGAGATATTCGACCCAGTTAGGGCCGCCTTCTGCGGTTGCGGTCTAAGTGTAGAAGGTCAATATCCAAGACTATGTTTGACTCAATCGTGTCAGGGTACAGGCTTACTTGGTTTTGGACTATCTTGTTGGAAAGAAGAGTCTTAGCATCATAGGCGAGGTTGAATTGGTCGCCAATGAAACTATAATTTTGATGCCCATGGGTTCCCTGGACATAAGTATAGGAGTCACCGAAGGCAATTCTTTCGTCTGCGGTTAGTGCAGCTTGCAAACTGGAAGTGTGAATGCACTTACAGGGCCTTGGTTGATGACCAGTCGAATTTGGCTGGTCTTGATAGAGGACTTGCCCTGGCGAAAGTACTACCAGAGGCAATGGCTAGAACGCATGTTGAGAGAAGAAGCATTGTAGCAATTGAATTGGTAGCCTCAGTATACAAGAAGCTACAATTGCCTAGGTACTATGACATCCTTGTCGGTAGTATAGAATTTATAGATCTCCGAGTAGATGATCTAGTTAGTCCAACCCCGCAAATGTCGGGATCCGGGCTAATGCTGCAGAGTTGACGGAATATATTTTTCCATCAGTTATTTTACTCGGCGCTTCTTGAATGATTACCCCAGTGTGAATTGTGGGGGGAAGGGAGGAATTATGGGGGAATGGAAGGGAAATAAAATCCCGAACTTGTGATACTCACGGAATGACATCAAATATGTTCCTTTACTTAGAGCATAAAACAGCATAGCAAGAAACCCTATGAAAGGATATATCAGTCTACCCGATCTGCTGGGTAGCTCTCACATATCAAACTCTCAGATAGGTTTATCTTCAATCTCTGAAAAGTTGCCGTTTAAATATACGAGTAGTAGAAGGAATATAAGACACAATGTATTGTATTGTGTGTTGTAGAAACTATGTATGTGTACAACATAGGGATGAAAAGAAAGGCTGTAAGAGTCTACTATGGGACATATAATCATGTGACTACTGAAAGATCCCAACAATTGCACCCTGACCAGCACACTAAGTTGTTTCAGCGCCTCGAATCATTATCCGAGGTCCGACTACAGGCGGCCTTATATGATAGCCACATGCCAGCCACATAAGCCTTAGTGCTTCATGTTGCCTAAAGAAGAGCGCTTGTCAGCAGCGAACGAACTCCAAGAACCCCGAAATCAAGTGAAGACAGAAGAAGCAAGTATAGGTATTTACTGGGGTGGGGCGACTTTGCCCTAGATATCTGCCTCACCATTATAGGCCTTACCTCATTTGACACAAGTGTGATGAATCTAGGATCAACCCTGGAAGTTACACTAGAATCTACACTAGAATCTACACTAGAGTCTACACTAGGAAACCAACATTACTTACGTATACTATTATACTAGGGCGTCGATTTCAAACCCGCCGAGATTTCCGCTTGTGCATAGCTCGACATTCAAGCTTTATGCTTAATCGGCCCACAAGGAGGTTATGTTGTGGGTTTCCTTTAGCGGTTCACAACATGACAAACTCTGAAATACAGATATGTAAAGCTAGATGAAGATTAGTTGGGGGTCAGCGACTGCTTTTTTTAGGTTTTAGTTTTGTATATATTTGTATATATTCTTGCACTTGCGTCTCTGGAATTAGAAATGCAATGAATACTGCTTTCGTGCTAGCCACATATATTCACAGACTATTGCAGGATGCAATGCACAAAAATGCAGAGCCACGTGCATACCAATGCCAGGATAGTTTCTCGTGGTTAGTTGGCACGGGTACCAATATCCCATCATCCTGGGGGCACAGTATTCACCCCAAGACTTTGACCACAACACCCAAAAGTGAGAATCCCATCAGAAACATGCCAAAAAGAGACCTGCATACATAACCATGTGTGTCTTTCGTACTTCAGACGGGGTACTCTGTACACAGTCTGGTAACTACATCCCGCGCGTGCATGCATACAACGTCCACAGGATCTTGAAGCAACCTTACAAAAATACACAAAACACATTACATGATTGAAAAGATTCCCAAGACAGCGACATGCAGTAGTGCGGCCAGCAAGCTAGGGTTAAAGATTGTAAAAGTAAGACGAGGGCTCAATTCCCGCTGTATGCATAAGCGCCTCCCACGCCCTGAAGACGCCATGCCAATCGCAATAGAGAATTCCCATCCGACGATGCACGTCGGAGACCAAGAGGGGGGGACTCACGCTTTCGGTCCAGATCCAAACCGAATCCTGGAAAATTCACCAGCCGCGTCGCCCAGACTTGTCTGTGGCCAACAGGGGCCCCGGCCGGGCATCGGGATACACTAGTAAGACAACGTTGGCTGTATCAGGCGATAGTGCGCCACCTAGGGCCAAAAAAAAAGAAAAAGATAAAATTAATCAATATGTACTTGTGTTTACCTTACCTTTTTTTTTGGTGTTGTCTAGAGCAGACGTAGAACATGCATGGAAATGTAACTCTGCTCGGCAGATTCGGGTTGGTCTTAGGGTTTCGGTTTGGACTAATTAGCATATCTACCACTTTGAATTGCAGTATTGGGAATGAAAACAATAGATCAAATTATATCTATACAGTGGCAACGATATAGTATTTTCACATGTCATGGTATGGTAGACATGACAATGTGTCACTTTCTTCTCAAAAAGTAAATCTATTGGCCATTATATTTTTGTCCTAGATCCCTGTCCCGGGATCTGAATCCCTGCAAGAATCAGTCTCATTTATTGGCGGAACCATGCTTGTCTCCTACCAATTCAAGATTTCAATATCAAGGTCAAGGCCAACGTCATGTCTTTTAACCGAGCTTTTTATCCATGTATTTTCATATCCCTCCAAAAAAAAAAATTTAAAAAAATTTAGAAAGTAAAAAGAAATCCCTCAGGATATTCCGTAGACTCAATGATCATCATCCGGGGTGGTGCTGATCCGCACAGGTCTCTCTAACGCGATCTGCCGAAGCATTAGCGGGTAAGACTTACTGTGTCTGGCGTAGTCTAACTCATCACCGCACTGGCCAACTGTGGAGTTGAGGGAAATTGCGTTTTTCCAATCTGAGTGCACAGACACTAATTCCTCTGATAGGAACTCGGCAAGTTCGTTGACTTTAGGCTCTTGTTTCTCAATCAACCGTAGGAGCTCTTTTTTCTTCTTTTTTTTCCCTCTTGGATTTGGATGTAGGCGAGGAGTTAAAAGACTAAATTGCAAACTAACATAATTATAAGTCACGGATTCTGTTCTGGAGAACAGAAAATACAATATACAGAACCAAGCCACTTCTTTAATGATCGCCTAAGCGATCAGAGCTTGGGAAATGACCGGAGAATATCCGTAGATTGCACATAGGCTCGACCAGACCTCTTGTGGGGACGGAGGAGGTTTTCCGCACTCCCTACCCGTCGATTAGCCAGCTCGTTTAACCTCATTTAGCACGAATATGCGAAGTGGGTATCATTTTGATATTCCCATACAAACGTAATTTGACAATATATAATATGCAATATAGAAGTAACATGCAGAAATGGGCCCACGTGCATTGACATGGATGAACGTCTGCAGGTCCTGCTTTTGGGGTTGAGACATTTAATTCTTGAAGATTCTTCTCGAAATCAAATAAGCCACAGCCGCAAAAGGCGCCTTATATCACCCTAGATTATTGAATGTAACCAAGAAAAAAAAAATAAGAATACCAAGATACCAAGCTATCTAGGAAAATCTTGTAAACAAAATATACCGTACGGAGTAGAGGTTTGGGAATGCATGAAAACCGGGGATTGGAGCGGGTTGATCGTCCCGGAAGTGAAGGTACAGGCCAAGGTATTATTGATTTGGTCTCCGTATTCGTACGGAGTACTTACAGCGCGAACTGGATACAGGAGCGGCTGCGGCGTCCAATGATTGACGCGCCATATGAATTTGATATTGATCATCCCGTTCTGCCCTCGACTCTCCGGATATCCCGCACTGGACACTTGTGTGTTCGGAGTCTGGTCCCACTAGATATGGATTGTTATTTATCCCTGATGTAAAAAAAAGAAGTTCGTACTTTTGTTTTATGGACTAGACAATATATGACTCGCCCGTATCAGATGCAAATGATCCTGCGAAGAATAAAAAAACAAAAAGAAAAAGTTGCTTTTTCCTCACCGGCAGTGGAGGAACAAGTTCCGCCTGCGGGGTGAGAGATCCAGCCCCCCCTGAGAACACCAATCAATTAAGAGGGGAGTTGTCAGTTTACCGAGCTGAGAGCCTTGCATCAATTCCTTTTTTTTTTTTTTGGGGGGGGGGGGGGGATCTTCCTATCAGACTTGATTTGTATCCAGGAGGGATTTGACGATACATAGCATATACAGTCCATTTTCTGTGGAGAGACTGAAAAGTAAATAAGAAATATAATTACAAAAAGGGCCATATACTGTCCTTCACTACGGAGTACGGAGTACATAATATGGATTGAGTACTGAACAAAGTACGCTGATACTGGAGAGCCGCCGAATATGTCCGCTCGTGATTTGATGAGGGTGACCAATTGACGGTGATAATACACAGGCTTCCCAAGGAAATCCCGCTAGGGAAATGGGCCCCCTTTCTCCTCTTTTCTTCCTTGGTACGGAGATTGGAGTGGTATGTGCTTTTACTATAATTATCATATGGTCAATATCAAAGATAATAACCATAACATTTGAACTCAGTGGACGGAGTACGGAGTACTCCGTACTCGGAGTGATATAGGTTTGAAGATCGCAATAGGAATCGGAACTCTCTACGGAGTAAACTTGACTCATTTTATATTATGGATATTATGAATTGATATTGAACATATTCTTTTTTAAAGAGTCCAGATGTCAGGAGATAGGTAGACTCCGATCACCGGGAGTTGTTATGTCTCCACTTACGCGTCTGTAGGTATTGTGACGGTTACGCGACCAGATATGACTCGGTTTTCTGAAGAAAGCGATCACGACTAGTATGTATATGTATAACCTATAACATGTGTTAGAATATAGTCTATGGTATACCCGCTCGGTATTCCGGTTTAAGCCTCTTAGATATATTTTATATAGCGTATGTGTACGGGAGTACATCAACAATGTAGGGTGTTCTCCGCATAAGCACATATATTCTGTATGTTCCGAATACCTGTAATTAAAGTGCAACGCTAAAAAGAAACCCTTTTCAGGAAAAGAAGCTATCAACCGGCTTCAACCGCCTCGGCTTTGAACCTTTTTCAGACTTTGACCCTAAACTGCAATGAGTCAGGCCTATCCACCGAGTTACTCCATTCTCCACTGAAGAGTCCACTACTTTTCTCCTATTGGTTCAATGGGGAGTGCCCTTTTTTTTCGCGTCCACACTAGCCCTGGTCTTCCCGAGTCCCATCGCTTCTTTCTTCCCCCGACTTGCGCTACTCCTATTTCTACCTTAGTCTACCTTAGTTTCCCCTTTACAACATCCACGATTATAGTAATCTTCCCTCTATACCCCTTTCAGCCTCGGTTCTTTCGGGCACGCCATTTCTTTTAGCGTCTCTCAAGCCATCCCCTGGCTCCTCCTCTGACATCTTGGTACCACACGGACCTTTTTATACGCTAGGTTCTCCCTCACACGGGTAGACTAAGAGACCTCCAGTTGGGAACCTAACCAGTAGTTCTTAGTAAAAAACAACCACATCTGTATACCTCATTCATGATATTTCCCCTAGTATATTTTATCAAGGAATTCGAGATAAAATATGTTGCCACTTTTCTCCCTGGATGGTTCCGCTTTTTTTTTTTCTCCTTTCCCTTTAAAGTGAAAACTGGAAAAGAAAAAAAAAAGTGTTATCACACGGACATGGAAAGCTTAGCCGGTAACAAAGACACTGAGGGGAAAAAGGGGGCCAAACCAGTTAAATGTCGGAGTTTTATGTGGAAATAGGGAATGGCCCGAGATCAGTGAAATCTACTTTCTTTTTTTATATAAAATGATTAATTTTCAATTTCTCCTTGATTACTGTATTTATAGTGTATATAATTTTAATTTTACTAGTGATTTATATGTTCCTCAATACATAACATAGCATAGTATACGCAATATATACAGAGATTGTACATATATGCATATTCCATGCATATTGTATATATATTTATATATTATATATATACTGTATATTGTAAAAAAAATAGAAAAAGAAAAGAATCCAAAATGTAAAAAGAAAAATATAAAAAAAAACAATGTAATTTTCCCCCCCGGCCAACGATAAAACCAAAATTACCTGATCCAAAAAGAAAAGGATCCACAGCATCCTCGGATCCCACGAGGACTACTTTTTCCCTTTCCTAATTACCTTTTAGGTCCGTCCAAGTCGCGTTGACTCCTGACTTTTTTTTTTCTTTTAGTCTTTAGTTCTTAGTATCTTCCCCCGTGGCTATTTTTCCGTCTCCGGTGCCTCGTGCTTACCGCCACCTGCAAGGCATCCTCGAACTAAGATTAAGCATCTAAGCATCTTAGCATCTTGGTACTTCATTCTTTTTTTATTACTTTTTCTTTTCAAATCTACAACATCTTGTTGTTGAATTCCTCCATATCTCTCTTACCTGGAATCTGTACGCCAAACCTGTTTGATCAGTGTTTCGCGATTCAACTTGCTCCTCCAATCATCAATTCCCTAGGAATTGAACCCCTCCCAAACCAAGGTACGCTTAACAAAGAAAAATATCCCAAACTCTAGAGATCTAGAGAGAGAAGAGGTCAGCCACGATTCCAACGTGGCAACCTAGTCTCCCCGTCCCTTGCTTGAAACGTGTCGGACCGACTCGTCAATTTCCCCGACCTTTTTTTTTTTACTTTTTTTTTTACCCAAGGCTCATTGTTGTGTCGACGCGTCTTCATACAGGTCCAACACGAAAAAAAAAACACTTTGCAATAGATTCGTCGGCATCCTTGCGCGCGAATCTTCTCTTTTATGGACAACCGGCCCGCTTCCGAGTACGCACAGCCAGGTTCGAACCACCACCCAAACACCGTGACCGACGCACCTTCTGAACAAAAACCTGCAGACCAAACTTCTGCTGCTGCTGCTCACTACACCCCGCAACCTGAGGCTCGTCCTACGCCGCAGTATACGCCGCAACCTGAGGTCCGACCTAATCTTCCCGCGGCCAACACCCCTCAATCGGATTACGGTCTGAATCCTCCGACCGCCCGCTCGCCTGCCTATCAGGACTACCTTCACCGTCCTCCTCAATCCTACGCCCCCAACTCCCAACCCGGTGGTGCGGCAGGTATGGCTCAAGCAACAAGTCCGTTCAACACCTTGCCTGCGGGCCCGCGCAGTCCGCACTCCAAGTCTGACGCGCCCGTTCCTATAGATCCTTCGCTCCCGGCCAACAGCCCCACCTATCCTCCCCCTTATTCTCCTTATCAGCCTCAGGGGCATGAGATGGCGCAGTATCAGGGTCACCCCCCTCCGCCTCAACACATGTACGCGCGTCCGGATTGGCCTCACAGCTATGGACAGCAACATCATGGATTGCCGGGACCTTATGCTTCCCCGGCCACAACGGTTGGTTCTACCTCTCCTGTTGCTGCACTAGGGCGAGCTCCAAAGGTATGTTTTTGATGATTCCCTGGGGGTATTTCTTAAGGCTTTCTACTTGATATTCAAATCATTGTTGTCTTGGATTGCCTCTAGGGGTTGACTATTTGGTCCACAGGGTCACTGTCCTAGGGATTATCAAAAACAGCCTGCCTCTTGCCATCCCCCATCCTTCTCACCTGCTTCCTCTTTTGTCAAATGGAGATGTGATTGGGTGGTTTTTTTTTTTAAAAAGTTGGGTCTGATCAAAGCTAATTCCCAATCTCTTGTTAAATCTAGGTCTATTCATTTGTCCCAATTCCTGGTGCACAACAGCATAAGCGTCCTCGTCGTCGTTATGAGGAAATTGAGCGCATGTATAAGTGTGGATGGAATGGATGTGAGAAAGCATATGGTACTCTAAACCATTTGAATGCACACGTGACTATGCAATCACACGGTGCAAAGCGCACTCCTGAGGGTAGGTTCATCTCATTTTCTTTGCTTTTAGATTTTTAAATCACCTATGCGACTGAGATCTTGTATCTTTTTTGTCGCAAATGGCTGGATCGGGTTAGCGCCGGCCGTTGGACGCTAGTGAGTTACACTAGATGTCGCGGGGCCCGCAGTAGCGTGGCCGACGGCGGAGGTTTAAGCTTGCCTCTTATCCCTTTCTGCCGTTCCCTTCACTAGCACCCATACGTCCCATCCTATTTCCCATTTTGGCAACTGGCTTATTTTATTTTATTATTATTTATTTACTCCCAAGTTCACTGCTGACTTTTCTTATTCTAGAATTCAAGGAAATCCGCAAGGAATGGAAGGCTCGCAAGAAGGAGGAAGAGGCTCAGCGCAAGGCTATTGAGGAGCGTGAGCGTGCTGCCGCTCAGGCTGCCCAGGCCAACCAGGTCGAACCTCCCAACCCATCTGACCCATCCCATGGACAGCCGCCTGCCTATGCCGGCGGAGTCCGTCCTCAACTTCCTCCGATCGGATACCAGCCCGCGGATAGTCAGGTCCCCGGCCAATATGGTGGCCCTCCTGGCAGTGGTATGGTCTATCAGAACAATGGACAGATGGCATACCCTCCCAACTACCCTCACTCTCCCTACCAGAGCGGACCCGTGTACCCGCAACGTGAGTAATGTCGCCGCCTTGTTTTCTATACCAGGATCGATCTCCTCTGGAATTATCTCTTCGACAAGGTCATCTTCGCCCCGACCCGTCCACTGATTCATAAATTCGCTACGGCTTCCAGAGACTCAATCCGCCAACTATCCGCAATAATCTTCCCCCACATAATCACCCCTCTTCCGCTATGGACCTACACGGAACGGAAATGCATCTTGCTTTTTCTTTCTTATCACGATATCCCCCTGTCCTTGACTAATGTTCTCGTCCTGGATTCTGATTCCCATTCCCCTCAACACAATCACATCCTTTCCGCTCTCCAAGTCTTTCGTGCTATGATACCAACCTCTGCGGCTTTTAATCTTGATCTGTCTAAGAGTGGCTTTTCCAGCTTTGTTCTATACCTGTCATCCCTTTTTGTGTTAGAGTGCATCGAGCTGGGAGGGTGTGCTGCCCTTCTGCACCTTCTTCTTTGTTCTGCTTCCCACTTAAATTCGAGGCAGAAGTGGTGTATGTCTTATCTTTGTTTGCCCGTTTGCCAGGGTTGTGGCTCCAAGGATGGTTGGGCGGCGGATTATTTGCATCTGTTTATTATTGACAGCATTTTCTCCCAAAATCGTTTCCCCTGGGGGTTCTTTGTTTTAGTTTTGTTTTGTCTTGTTCCTCTTATCTGTCTTAACTTTGCTACATGCAAGTGTGTTATCCTCTCTCTACTCTCTCTGTTCTCCTATTTTCTTTCTATAACGTACATTATGCTCCACGGTGATGCTCCAATCTGATTACGTGTACTATTCATTTTCTTTTTAGTGCATCACCTGCAATGAGCTTGAATTTTGGCTATTGGTTGTCTTACTGATGTGGTGTACTATATACCCAAAAGTTGAGTATGCAAAGGATGCTGCAATTTCAATAACATATAGGCAAGAAAATAGGAAGTATGTAGAATCTGTCAAATTGCAGGATAGTGATATCATGGCCTAAGAAAAAAGAGAAAGGGAAGAAAAAGCACCGAGGTATGTATGTATCTTCCTATCTGCTATGTGCCAGCTTGATTTAAGCATGCCATTGGAAAAGGCATAGATAACTGAACTAGAGACAATCGAACAGATCTCATTATTACAGGAATCAATCAAATTTGGCAAAAAACCTTAGAATCATTCTAAGGCAAGCCACGTCTAACCAAAAAAATCAGCACTAAGTAGTTACCGGCACCTACCATGAACTGAGCATAATACCATGCATCGAATGCCATCTGATGTGCGTACGCACTGGAAACTACTGCACAAGGTACATATGCGTATGTACCTGACTAGAACCAAATAAGAACAAGCGCAGCAGGATGTATATGTGGGCTGTACATCATACATAAGACAGGAAGCTAGTACAGTAAAGCGTCTCCACGTGTTGGACATTAGTATCAGCCACCGATATCATCGTGGGGAGACTGGTGGTAATTTTCCTTTTTAGAGTTATTCCTAATCATTTCTAGCTTGTTTCCTCTTCCTAGCTAGCCGTGCATATGTCACATTGCTTAGTGCTTAGTCTGTTTCCTTTGTACTCCACTGGCTGCTCCTTAGCTTCGGGCTAGTGTCGTGTGCTACTCTAGGTAGGCTGTGCATGTGGTACAAAGTATAGTCCCGGTTGGGCTAGGGAGGACGCTAGCTAGGCGGAATGTAGTGTGATCTGCATGGGTATACGAGTAGATAAATGAGATATGCTTAGCTTATGTAGCTATATAGGGTCTTGGATTTTTTTAGAGTATGGTTTGATAATTGTGTTATACTTGGGATTGAATTATGGGAATACTTGGGTATAATGAATGTTCTGGAACTTATGGCCTCGGCTAGACGTTGAGGATCTATTAATAGAAAATCAATGAGATAGAGAAAGTGATATAAGTGTTTGTTTGAACTTTTCTGTTCACTTCAACATAGGTTGATTTAAAGTAGGAAAGTACGTCTTCATCCACGGATCAATACATAAGCTAAGTGTAACGCAGATCCAGAGACCCCAAGGGAACTAGTAAACTAGTAAAGTACTTAAACGCACAGAAGACTCTTGGAAATCTGCTCTAGCGCTCCCGTCAAGGCCCGCAGGGAACGCGGGTTGGTGGAATGGGAACTAAACCACTTGTAGTCTAGTTGGACCTCACAAGGGAGGTAGCCTCAGGCAAGAATATTGATGCCTGAATATATTACTGCCTGAATATACTGGCACCAATATAGACCCGATATGAACTAGCGTCCGGTGCAATCTGCGAAATTGTTTCGCGGTCCGTCTCCGGCAGGCATTGAGGAAATAACAGTCTGTTCTGCCTGTTTTTTTCTTCTTTTTTCTTTTGGTGCTTTGCCATTGTCGAACACGTGTCTCCCTTCTAGCATTGTGCAGGACACAAGCTTAACGCCTGGAGATCACAAGTAATCCGGTCATGACATTCCGGTTTCCGGGATCGCTCGTGAACAGAGCTTTGCGCAGCCGACTTCTTACAGCGCAGCAATACCGTGCTACTACTGCCTCCCAACGACTACCGCAGACATGGATCGCCTCAAGCAACTACCACCGCTATTCCTCCTCCTACTCCTCCCCCAACCGCTTTCCCGATAAAAATAGAGATAGAGATTCTCGCCGCAGAGGATATGGCCCAGAACGCTCCGAGAGGGTTGGTGAGAACCATTTTAAGAACCGGCATAGAGATAGACAGGGGGTTCAGGATGTCGTATCTAAGGAGAATCACGAGATTTTGATGGCTATTGCGTCGGGGTCGTTTACTGGGCGTTATAGCAATGAGCGCGAAACTTCTGAAAGTGACGCTCTGGACTCCGAGGCTGCTGTACGCGAGGACTTGGAGAATGATCCCTATAACTACGAGGAGGGTGGAAGTGAGGCGCAGGAGAATGAGGTCTCTGATGATCAGACATCCGAAGAACAAGAGGTTGAGGCCGAGGCCGCCGATGGCGAGGCTTCCGAGAACGACACCTATCGTCGCCCCCTTTCAACAATGCCCAAGCTCACACCTAAGATTATCAATGAGGAGTTGAAATGGTTGAATGACCCTCGCAAAATGGCGGATCGCGTCGCGCGCATTTTGCACAGTGGCAATCCGGCCCTGGCGGCGGCCTTGGTTCGCGCTGGAACAAAGCAGGGCTTGAGATGTGATGTTGCTTGGAACCATCTCCTGCAATACTGCATGGATCAAAATCACCCGCAGGCTGCGTTTAAATTCTACAATGATGTGAGTTTTGTTGTTCCGTGGTGCTGCCATCTAGGGAGTTGCCCGAGATTGGGTTTTAGACTTGTATGCTGACAGATGTTCTCTCATAGATGAAAAAGCGTGGCAGAAGACCAACCCCCCGAACGTATACGATCATGTTGAAGGGCTTCAGCTCAGCCCCGAGGTCATTGAGTATCGCGAAAACTGCCGCCTCTGTCTACCGCTCGATTGATTCACCGAACTCTGGAGTCAAACTTGATATCATCCACACCAATGCTATGCTTACCGTTTGCCACCGCCATTGGGATATGGATCGGCTGTGGAAAATTGCCGGTGACCTACCTGAAGAAGGACCAGGTGCCCCGGATGCTACCACCTACACCATTATCTTGAACGCTGTCCAATTCGCAGCTCGCAGAGATATGCAGAGAAGGTCTCCTGATGAGATTGAAAAGATTCTCGAACGAAAGACCCAGGTTATTGCCGAAGGCAAGCGGATTTGGGCCGATGTCATCTGGCGGTGGAAGAACCAAACCTTGCAAATTGACAATGAACTTGTTAACGCCATGGCCAGCTTACTTCTGGAAGGAGGTAGTGATATTGACTGCTACAATGTCATGGAATTGTACAAGCAAACTATGGGGATCCCCATATTACAAAAGCGACCCACTGAGAACGAGACGACGACGCGCCGCAGGATCACTCCCGAGCAAACTCAAGCACTCGAAGTCCAAGAGGCTGTGCGGCAATCAAATATGGAAGATGTTCCGTTCGTAGACGAAAATAATCGACCGATTGAAAGCTTGGAATCGGCCGAGGAAGTTGAGCAACGCTTGAGAGAAGAAGTGGAAGAAGTGGAGGAGAAAGAGGAAGAAGTTGAAGAGGAGGAAGAGGAAGACTTTACAGAACTCTTCAAACCTGTCGTTCCCCAGGCGGAGGAGCTCTCATTCCTTAAACCAGACAGCAAGGAACTGACTCTTATCCTGAATGCTTGTTTCACCATGACCCAAGGATCCGAGGGTGGACAGGCCTACTGGAAACATATGACTTTGGAAGACCACGATTACCGCATTGACCCCGACACCTTCACCTACATCCAATATTTCCGCCTCCTCCGCATCTCCCGCTCCAGCAAAATCAGCGTCAAAACCATGCGCGAGCAGATGGTTCCCTCCGGCCAAGCAAACGGAACCGCATTCCACGTTGCTCTCAGCGTCTGTCGCCGTGATCGCCGCAACCACTCAATGCTCCAACATGCGAACGAGCTAGTCGGTCTAATGGATAAAGCATTGATCCTACCCGACATCCGCGTCCTCGAAGGCTATCTGGAAACGATCCAGATCCTTTCCACCAACCCGTCCGTCCTCCTGCACCTCAGAGGACTCGACACTACCGAAAAATCCACAACCTCTAGACCCACTAAACTGCATGACATGGGCCGGAAACTACAAGCGAAGCTGCGACTAGTTGCCATCGCCACCTTACGACCATATATCCATCAGCTTCACGAAGCGATGGAGAACGGTAAACCCGAGTCGAAGACTCGTTGGAGCGCCATCCAGAATACAATGTCGGATGCTGTTGCCGGTCCGGCGGCTGTGAAGATCATGGCGCGGGTTCGGCTGGTGGTTGACGATACCCTCAAGCTTGACTATAAGTCTCATGTTTCGAAGGCTGAGCGCAAGGCGCTTGAGGCTGACTCGAAGATGCTGAAGAAGTATTCTGATAAGGATGTCATTGCGGCTTTCAGGAAACAGAAGGTATACCCGACGATTCAGCAGAAGGAGGATGCCCGGAACCGTATTAGAAAGTTCCAGTCGGAGGCTAGGAATTCTCGGGATCAAAAAGGCTCGGATCAGCAAGAGGAGCGAGAAGCACGGATTGAGGCTTAATCAATTTCGTGAGCTTTGATACGAGACCCGGTGAGGTCTCGATTGTATTATGTTTGTATATCACACATTGGGGGCTATAGATGGCGTTGCATATTTGCATTATGTACATAATACCATTTGGTACATTCTCTACTTCTAAATGAAACAATAATCAAGATTCTAAAGGAATTTGATGTCGCTGTCAACTTGGATCTATGTATGAAAATGCCAAGCTTTTATATGCTCTGTATCAACTGCCAGGTTATAAGATATTGAAATCTCATTGCTGTTATCATGTAAATCAGTTGAGAGGAATACCGCATATAATAATCTACCGAGTCGGGTTGTTGACGAGGAAAGCGTCACGCAATCTGACAGCCGATGATGAAATGTGTTCCTATTAAGTGCTAGCTTCTCAGTAATACCCTCTATTGAGCCAAGACAGATGATTCGGTGGATTTTCACTTATGCCGGCATTGGTGTTCGGATGTAGATATCCACAAGATAATGTGATTAGTGTGGGGATGATGGCGAATGTTTTGTTCACGGCACGCCATATACATTTTATTCATTTCACAGAACTCGGAAGTTTGCCGTTCCCCTCTTTTTATATTGTCGATGGCGCGAGATGAGTGTGCGATGGGCAAATTCTGAGTTGGGATAGTGCGGGGGTAGTACACCTAGACAAAATGCCGTGGGTTGGGACATGAGGGGTTGTGTTACTCTTATAGACTATCGCTAGATCTTTTTGAACCTTGCGCGAGAAGGATCCTGTACCTTGAAAACCGCGGATTATGGGAGACAGTGCAACTGCTAGCCAGAATGGCTCAGCCGTCGGCAATGGCAAGAAACAAATATTGCTTAATGCTTTCGACATGTCAACTGTGGGACATCTGGCCCCTGGACAATGGAAGGTTGGTATAGGAATTGGAATTGAAGGGCCGAAATGCTGACAGCTTCACAGAATCCCAAAGACAAGTCTGCGACCAAGCGAACACTCGGATACTGGATAGAGTTGGCGAAGCTGCTAGAGCGCGGTGGAATCAACGCATTGTTCCTGGCAGATACAACTGGAGGTTATGATACCTATGAGGGCAAACTGGACGAGTGTATTCGGCGTGCGGCACAATGGCCAGTGACAGACCCGACTATTGTGAGTGTTAATAAACGAACGTTGCAACTATAGTCTGACTTTCTGGTTAGCCCATTTCGGCAATGGCTGCAGTGACAAAGAACCTAGCGTTTGGCATCACGGCCTCGACTTCATTTGAGCAGCCCTTTTTGCTGGCTAAGCGCTTCTCAACCTTGGACCATTTGACCAATGGTCGACTGGGTTGGAACATCGTGACTTCATATAAGAAAGCGGCTTTCAAAGCTATTGGTCTGGATACTCCAATTGAGCATGACGAACGGTACCGCCAGGCAGATGAATATCTAAGAGTGCTCTATAAGTGAGTTGCATGCCCACAGCTCTGTTAGAGTGATGTTTTTGAGGACTGACTCGGCGGCTTTTGATCATAGATTGTGGGAGGGCTCCTGGGCTCCTGATGCGCTGTCCCCAAACCCTGAAGCAGACACATACGTAGACCCGGATAAAGTCCGCCAGATCAACCACAAGGGGAAGTACTTCTCATTGAGCACACGGCACATCGTCGACCCGTCTCCGCAGCGCACGCCATTCCTTTTCCAGGCAGGGACTTCACCTGCGGGATCGGAATTTGCTTCGACTCATGCTGAGGCAATCTTTGTCTCTTCCCATTCGCCAGAGGTGTTGAAGCCGAAGATCGCAAACATCCGCAAGCTAGCTGCAGAACGAGGCCGTGATCCACAGTCAATCAAATTCTTTGGTACCCTCACACCCATTATAGGCGAGACTGACGAAGAGGCGTGGGCGAAATACGAGGAACTGAAGAAATACGCATCGGTGGTTGGAGGACTGGTTCTTTTCAGTGGATGGACGGGCATCGACATTTCCAAAATCCCACTAGACCAAGATATCACGGCTGCAGACTCTTTAGAGGCAAACAAAATCACTAGCTTGCTCGACTCATTGCTCACGACCAGCAAGGATATCCCGCGCTGGACGCCTCGCGTGGTTGCTGAGAAGGCCGCAATCGGTGGTCTTGGCCCGGTGGCTATTGGAAGCCCTGCCACTGTTGCTGATGAGATGGAGCGTTGGGTGCGAGAGGCTGATCTCGATGGGTTTAATCTTGCCTATGTTACTACGCCTGGCACCTTTGAGGAGGTGGTTGACCTGCTCATTCCAGAGCTGAGACGACGTGGTATTTATCCTGAGCTTCCAGATCCCTCAGAGCCACCTCTCACGGCTCGTGAGAAGGTATTTGGAAAGGGACAGAAAGAGCTGAGGGCTGATCATACTGGAAGCAAGTACAAGTACGATGTGTATCAGGAGGATGAGCCTTATGTTGACGGTACAGGTACCGGGGAAAACTGAATGTCAAATTAATGCCATCGGATGATAATTCAATTTATATATAAAGATAGAAGACCTTAGGATGATTCAGAACTAGAAAACCTATGTATAATATGCATGCAAGACGTGCATCGTAGTTTGAAGTGAAAGGTGAAACAAAACGTGCCTGGTAACATTACCCGTGACCCAGTACGTAATGCCACTCTAGCCTTTCCGGGACAGCTTGGCCAACTCACATTCATACTCCTCGATTACCTTGACCTTTGCTGTCGAACTTCGCCTCTGAGAGGACTGAAAGAGGTGCCATTTCCGCGCTAGTCTTTTGACCGTCACGACCATAACACGCGAACCATGGCTACCATACACCAAGGCCACCCCCATGGCGACCCCCATGATGACGACTCTCTTCTTGGTGATGATTTGATCGAAGCCGATGATGGTGAGTCCTTTTATTTGTCCCTCTTGACTATCGGAGTATTATCAAGATCCTAATGCGGTGTAATTCTAGCCATCGACGCTGATGACCCCCTGCGCGATACCTCCGATACGGCCCCTCTGCGAGGCAACATCGAATCTAGCTCAAGTAACCGAGGAAATACCTCTAGCTACGGCAATTACCTGTCATCCTCCATCGGTGGTGAAGACCGCCGTGCGACACAAAATACCATCGATGAGAGTGTTTGGGAGACATTGTCACGCGACTTGATTGCCGTGTGGGAGAAGATGCGCCAGGTGCTTTGGCCGAAATACTTGCTTGGAGGAATGATGCAGCGGGGAGGCAGTGGTATCGCTGATCCTGAGCAAGGCGGATTGTCTGGATTTGGTGGTAACATTCGAGGACTCGTCGGACGCTGGCCGGATGCCGACGTGGTCTTGCAGGGCGGTATGAGCGATGGGCTGCGGGACTGGGATCTTTGGTAAGCTACCCTATACATCCAAACTCTGCATATAAACTAACGAAGGACTTACTCTAGGGGACCGCTTGTCTTTTGCCTGGTGCTGAGTTTGTTCTTGTCTGTCGCAAAGGGAGATCAAGCATCAGTGGTCTTCTCGGGTGTTTTCTGTCTAGTCTGGATCGGAGAGGCAGCTGTGACTCTTCAGATCAAGCTACTTGGCGGCAAGATGTAAGTGTTGTATGATCCCACAATATTGCAGTTTACTAACATTGTCGCCTTTTAGTTCTTTCTTCCAGTCGGTTTGCATTATCGGTTATACGCTATTCCCATTGGTCATTGCGGCAATGCTGAGTGCACTGGGGCTTCCTACTATTGCACGGATACCGGTATATCTTGTGTTAGTCGCATGGTCTTTAGCAGCTGGAGTAAGCATTCTAGGAGGCTCGGGAGTGGTGCGGAACCGAGTCGGAATCGCAGTGTACCCACTGTTTGTGTTCTACATTGCGATCGGGTGTCTCTGTTTCATCAGTTAGGGCTCTCTATTGTCATATTGTGATATTGTGCTCAATAGTTGAGAAAATGCGCCGTTACATGCTTCTGATAGGCATCGGCGCAACTCAATAACAACATTGGATTATATTAGAATAGCGCGGATACCGGTATATCCACACTTGAATTGAATTTATGCAAATTTTATTGTTCTACCGAGGCATTTAGGCAACAATAGATGATTGTTCAGATGAATATGCTTTGTTCCCATTCCCATTCCCATTGACGCTTTTGCTATTCAGAGAACCCGTTTGTTGGGCCCCGCACCCGGCGGTCAAGTTATAAGAACCGGCAAGCTAGCTTTTCCTTCTTCTCTCACCTTTTCCACCCTTCCATCCTCTTGTTCTCCTGTTCGCAAACTCTGCAAAGTTCAAATCTTCCATTCTTCGTCGATTCGGCTGGTCCCAATCGATCTGATATCCCTCCATCTGCGGTTATCGTGACCTGTTGAAGCTCCGCTCAACCCAATCTCGGACCAGATATCTGAAAAATACTCAATATCTTTGACAAGCTCGTTCTCAAGACGCGACAGTATGGTTTCTGCTTCCCGTGAGCAGAACTCCTCGGCAGGTGGTATGTCATCAGTGCTTGGGCGCATAGCCTCAAAATCCCCCACATAGTTGGGCAGTTTCGCTAACAACCTCAAAAGCTCCGGAAACAGAGCAACTGAAAATGGACCATAGCGGTGCGTTTTAATCCAGTGATCTATCTTTGCTCCGCCCTGCAGCTTTCCCTTATATCTTTATCACCACTTCCTACCCTACGGTTTTCCCCGACGTTCATGTGATCTGACAATATCGTCTTGACAGTCACCGCGCAGTCGCCGCCCTCTGATAATGACAGCGGCGAACGCCCCGTGCGACAACAGCTCAAGGAGACTAACCTCGACTCTGTTGGCGAAAACAGCGGTCCTGCTCGTGCAAACCGAAAGCGCTCCCTTGACAATACAGATGGGGCAGCCGACACACCCCCAACCAAGCGATCCCGCGAGTGCACCCCGGACATGGCGGATATTCGAAATGCTTTCACGGAAGACAATACCAATCATGCTGGAATCCCCGAATCTGCCACTAGCAAAAATGTGAGTGATGATGTGGCCACAGCACTCGCGCACGCTTCATTTCCCAATACCAAGAAGGTCCAGTTTCCCCTGGACATTGAGATCAAGGTCTCAATTTGTGGATCGGAACAAATTAGCCATTTGACTATTCCTGTTGAGATTGATGTTAAGGTGACTGCTGGAACGGTCTCCTTGGCTTCCTCGACTTCGGGATCTGCTGAAGTCAACCCATCCAAACCCCATATCACCATCCCTTCTGAGAAGCCCATTCCTCCACCCGGAGAGGCTTCTCAGCCTATTCCTCCACCCGGAAGCCCCTCCCCTGGAAGCCCATCCCCTGGAAGTCCCTTCTCTAGGACCCCTTCCCCTAGGACCACTTCCCCTGGAAATCCTTCTCTTGAAAATCCTTCATCTGCGTACCTTGCCTCTGACTACTACGAACATGATGACCCTTCATTCCACATTTATGAAGAGCCTGAGCCAATTGAAGATTCCTCATCTGAAGACTCTCTACCTGATTACTGTTCAGATTCCTGTTTAGCTGATTACCCGTCCTCTTCGCCTTATGTCCCATACAATTCAATACACCCCGATCACCCCATACCCACGGTTGAAGCCCCTGATTCTAACTACTATCAATACCCACAGAATCTTGAAGCGACCGCCTACGGAAATGAGGATGATTCTTCACAAAACCTCAAGAAGAAACGGAGCCGAGAACAGCTTGAAGATGATGCCTCGAAGAATTCCCACGCTGCGACTGGCCCCACGCCTGGTTTGACAGAGACAACTTCATCAGATGAAAAATCTACCGCCGAAGGACAACCCGAGAAGAAGAGACCTCGCGATAATTCGGAGGAGCGCAAGGCCAAGATAGAACAGGTAAGTTTGCTGCCTCGATTTCCCTAACCTTTTCCCCCCATCTTCCACTCATGCTTGTTTCTGATAGACTTTCACTGCGAGTGCATTCGGAAAGGCTGCTGCCACCTCACCTTTCGCAATGCCTGCAACTAAATCGACCTCTGATGCCTCGCCTTTCGCAACCACCGGTGCCTCGACTACTGGTTTCGGTGCTCTCGGATCCGGCTTCTCTGCCTTTGGAAGTGCTTTCCCTGGTACATCTGGTAAACTTACCAGTTTCGCGTCTCCTAATGCCCCCGGCGCTTTCTCTGGAACAGCTGGTAAACTGACCAGCTTCGCATCTGCCAACGCCCCCACCAGTTTCGCTGGAACAACTGGTAAACTAACCAGCTTCGCATCTCCTAATGCTCCCGTTTCCTTTGGCGAACCTAGTGACAAGACCCTCGGTGCAAAACAATCCGATGACGAAGAGAGTGACAACGAAGTAGCGGGTGAACGCGATGACACCTTTGTTGCTGAGAAGACCGATGAGCGTTTCCACGAACAACCCGGTATGGACCCCTCCCTGCTGCCTCCCCCCAGGATCCCAAAGATGGCTAGTGACTCATGCGGACGTGAAAAAGTTGAAACCGGCGAAGAAAACGAGACCACCAAGTTCACAGCCAAGGGCAAGTTGTACTACTTCGACGACAAAAAATGGAAGGAGCGTGGTATTGGCACCTTCAAGGTTAACCTCAAGACGGAGTCAAACGGAAAGAAGTCCGGCCGCATCATCATGCGCGCTGATGGTGCCTTGCGTGTTATGTTGAACAGTGCTATTTGGCATAGCATGCCATTTGGTGATAGCAGGGGTGCTCGCCCCACCACCCGGGATATCTACCTTGCCAGCACGGAAGATGAGAGGGTTGTGAGCCTTCTTCTTCGGGTAAGTCTTATCTTCCAAGTTCTTGTTGCTTTTTCGCATTTGATGGAATTATATGCTAATGAATCAATACAGCTCGGCAGTGAAAAGCCAGCCGGTGAATTGTACGATGTCTTAAATGACATCCTGGAGAAGATCTAAGCATTGAAGTTACTACATGTTGTAAATAAGCAAAAAAACCCCAAAAACCAAAAAAAAAGAACCACCCCTCTCGTGGGGGCAGCTTAGGGTTCTTATTAGTGCAGATTATTAGCGATCTTTAATACATTTGTGTGAATATTGAATCTTCTTCCTCTAGTCTTTGCGCATTTCTTTTTCTTTACCTATAGGTTCGCACTTCACATCACTTCACGAAGTATGCGTATATATACAGAGGGTCTCTGATCTAAGCTGTTTTAATTGCTATTTTTGCATGAAAGTCCCGTATGGTTTATATCTTTAGAATGGTATTGCTTCACTACCAAGGAGTCTTCCTTCACCTTCTCACCTAGTCCCATCTCAACAAAGTCTAGCATGCTCTTTCTACCCCCTTAGCGCCATGTCCAAGTATCACAGCCTGCATTCAAGCCTTTCTTTCCCCATGAACTCGAAGAGCATGTTCTCCCAAATTATCCTTGCGATTAAAGGATCTACCGCATCCTTCTCTGTGGCACTTATAAGCGCCGGGGAAGAGATGCTGCGTCTCGATATGTCGCCAAAGGACATGTAACCGACCAAACGATTTTTTGGATTGACAATCATTCCATTCGCATTGAAACGGCTCCACCGGTGCTCTGTAAGAGAATGACTATTAGAAAATGAATGAAATATCTGACATGGTTCATCATCGAGACTTACTCGGCCTTGCGAGGCCTAGGACAAACTCGAGATCTCTGGGTTCTGGCCTGGGTGCCACGATTTGGCATGCGCTGCGGTGTGCTTTGCATAGCATGAGCATGCTGCAGAGGCGGAGACGTGGGCTGGTCAAGGGGTTGGGGTGCTGTGGCCCATGAGCTGGATATCCGCGGCAATACCCTCGGCGACAGAATATTGCGAGGTGTACTTGGTATTGCTAGCACTTCTTGCTTGATCTTGAGTTGGATGAGGCATGTTCTGGTTCGTAGCGAGAAAGGAGTATTGCGAGTGCGAAAACGGGCTCTCATTGAGATCGTCGAGATACCCAGTTTCCCAGCATCGCTCATTGACGATGGATGAATCATGTGATACAGTTTCGTCGAGAGACCAGGTCATTATGAGAGGAAGGCTTCGATATTCAGAAGTCATATATAAATTTTCTGCCTTGTAGGTTTGCTTGAAGGAAATATTGATGAAGTGAAGGCCGAGGTTGAGAAGGACTGAGTTTCCCCGGGGGTTGAAGGGGATTAAATATCTGAAGAGGCAACGATATTCAGTATGAAATCGCCCATCTTGCACCCAGCCAACGGATCCGATTATTTAAATTTAGGCATTTTTCAGTGAGGTTCTAACAGTAGCTGCGGATAAGTATAGATGAGCGGGGAGATCGTGCAGTCGGATTTGGGATAAAACCAATCAGCGCGACTCAGTCCCTAAGTGTCAGGGGGTTACTTGCTTTTATGATCTTAGTGGAGAATTATGCAGTCGGATTTGGTTATTCCCCAATCACAATACGAGCACTGCCATCGTCGAATAAGAAGTACGAAATAGCACAGGGTGCAAGAAGTGGCGCATGGGTTAGTGTTCAGTCTCACCTCAGACTAACATTTATATAATGTCTAATGCCCGAGCAAAGCCTTGTGCGCAATTATTCACTGACATTGAATGAGAAGCTTTTCGTCTTTAGAATTATAGGTGAAAAATCATGGCAAACCTAGATTGGGAGGCCCACAAGGCTGAAATCGAGCGCCTCTATATCCACGAAGGCAAATCGTTGAAGGAGATGATTCAAATCATGAGAGTGGTACACGGATTTTGGAAAAGGTATATTTATTTCTCTAGGACCTATCGTTTTCATGTACTAGGCTTAAATAACCGTTATATAGCAAGAGCCAGTATGAAACGCAGTTCGCGAAGTGGAGATTCAAAAAGTACCACATGGGGTCCAAGAACTGGAGGCTCCTCGACCAGAACCTAAAAAAACGAGGTGCTGACCAGGAGGTCTATGTCAATGGAGTTTTACTTGAGCCCAAGAGAGTCAAGCGCGAGCTTGGTCGGCAGGCCTTTCAGACAACAATTCAGAAAGAAGTCGAGAAGCTCACTTCAAGTAAGGTCTCTTTAACAAGAGAAAGAGTGGGCTTGCAATCATCTAACACGACATAGGGGCTTCTCCTAAAATGCCAGAAGGTGTTCTGGTATACTCCCCGGCACCGTCTGCGTTAGAGTTACAATGGCCCTCAAATCTCCCCTGGTTCAAGTTCTCACAATATGCTTTCCCACACAACGCCAAAGGTGAGGATTCTTTCTGAAATTGATAGTCTTTAGATTCCTGTCTGCTAACTAAAGACTTGACCATTTCTAGGAAGTTTTCATTTCCAATCAGAGATAGATCTTCCCGCTTCTCTGGTTATGATTCAGCCCAGTCACCATGTTGAAGAGGATTGGTTTCTCACTTTAGACTCAATATTTGCCTGGGTAGCACCACATAGCCAAAGAGAGTTACAAGTTGGTTCCCGAATGGCTGCCGCGATGAGCATTGTCATGCCAGAGGAATACAATGGCCAACATATTGTTACCTCCCGGGAGCTTTCCAGCCGCAGTGACTCGAAGTTAAGGGAGTTTATTCGAATATCTCTCTATCTCCTGTCTAACAAAATGGTCATCGAGGACACAGGCCCTTCTGGAAAAGAGGAACTTATGTTAAAGATCTTTCGCATGTCTGGACTCGACAATATTGTGAGCTTGCGCGGTTTGATATCTAGGGAAAACGACATGTCAGCTGGAGCAATCGCAGAGAGTCTCTTCGGAACTGCAATCAAATGCCTTGACACCCAGGTCATAAAGTTGATGCTAGAGGCCGGCATGGATCCCGACACACTCATCATTGACGTTGGATTCCCTCTCACGAGAACGGCCACACCCCTTGGATTTATAGCTACGAAACGTGAAATATCCGCCCAAGTGATTTCTAGCTTATTACTACAGCATAAGGCTAGTATAGATCTCTATCATAACGGGGAGTCCGCACTCGACATTGCTGTTAAACACTCCAATCAAATTATGGTGAAAACTCTCGCGTCAAACGGCGCCCATATCACGCCAAAGTCATTACATTCTGCCGTAAAGCAGGGTTGGGACATGCAGATTATTGACTATCTTTTGGATTATGGCCCAGAGAGTCTAATAGACCATGTTTTCCCAGAAGGCACGATTCTAGTAACCGCAGCAAACCGGGTTCAAACGGTGAAGGCACTATTGTCACGAAATGCCAACATCAATGCGATACAGCCTATCCATTCTCACGATCAGTTCAACGGTCTCGGAACAACTTTAATAGGCCTAGCAGCCGCAAGTGGAAACGTCGAATTGGTACAAACCCTCCTCTTAGCCCGTGCAGAAGTCAATCCAGAGCCCAGATCTGGTCTTTGCGTTCCACCTCTAGTGCTGGCAGTCCACAGAGGGAGAACAGATATTGTCACTTTACTTCTCCGTGCGGGATCCGACGTCTCTCTCGCAGACGGGTTCATAGCGCCCCAAGAGAGCGTCGGAAAATCACTCATTGAAAGGGCTTTAACAAGAGATGACGAAGCGATGGACCGCATCAAATTGTGCCGCAATTTACTAGCCAAGGGAGGGATAGCAAGTCAGCGGGAGATGGAAGACTTCAACACTCTTCAATTATTTGATGCCGTGATACGTCGTGATGCTGAAGCTGTCTTTTTATTTCTCAGTTTTGGCGCCCGGGTAACCACTTATGATGCCAAATACGGACATAATGCACTTGTGCTTGCCATCAGAAATGGAGACTCGAACATAATATCCTTGCTCCAAGCAGCTGGGGCTACGGTTGCCGGTTGTGCTATAGGATATATTGCTAATGTTGAGATCGCGTTGTTTCTGCTCCACATGGGACTTTTACCTGAGGTTCTATCTACAGACGGCTATACCATTCTTGTATCAGCAATACTTGCAGAAGATGATGACTTGATAATGTTCCTACTCGATTGGGGAGTCGATAAATCACTGCCTGCAGTCTTTCCGGAATTTGAAATACCAAAGTATCTCCGTAGAACTGTGCTAGAGGCAGCTCTATGTCGAGGAAATCTTCGTCTAGTTGAGAGGCTTGTTCAACGAGGCTCCTGCATTGGTGAAGCAGAGATCATCACAATTGTGTGGAGAGCGTCAGTATTGCATGACATTGTTGTTCTTCGCTCTTTCCTCGACACGTTCCCCACCTTCTCTCTACCGTCTCCTACTGCATTTGCAATAGCTCTGTTATTCGACAATTACAGAACCATCGATCTCCTCCTCAACGCCGGTATCAAACTCAATGGAACTCCAGAGGTACGGTCTCACTACCGTGATCCAATCAAAATGGAATTATGGGACTATAAGGGTTGGTATTATCCGCGATACCATCTTCTTCTATCAGATCCTAAATCGGTGCTAGAATTAGCAATCATCTGTCAGGGCGACGATATAATCTGGGAGGAACTATCTGTCGTGCAAAGTCTAGTTGCATGTGGAGACTGGACAAAATATGAAATAGGTCGTGCTTTCGCCACCAGCCTGCAACACGGAGACCGTGAAATTGCAAGAGATTTGCTGGCTTCTGGTGGAGATGTACACCAATTCGGTCTCCGTTTCGGCCGAGAAGACTCAAAACATGGGCGATATCCCGTGGAGATTGCTTTGACAGAGGGCGACACTCGACTGCTACAGGATTTGATTGCTGCTGGATTAGATCCGAATCGTTCCAGTGGTGGACATCTCACTGCTGTACAACGGGCAGTCAAGTGTGGAAATATGAAGCATATTCAAATGCTCCTGGCTGCCGGAGGAGATGTCAATAGCCCAGCAATATGTCACAATGGAATGACTGCGTTGCAGATTGCGGTGCAACTCAAAGATATAAAGATTACACAAATGCTTGTGAGAGCCCACGCGGATGTTAATGCTCCGCTAAACGCCTTGAACAATAAAGACGAGTGCCCTTTGCATCTTGCCATCAAAACTGGAAACAACAAGCTCGTTAGACTTTTGCTTCAGGCCGGAGCAAATGTGAACAGGCCACCTAGTCCCTTTCGTGGTGCCACGGCCTTGCAGTTGGCGGTAAAACAAGGTGATTTGAATCTTGTCGATCTGCTCCTGCGAGAGGGTGCGGATGTCAACCAAGCACCTGCTCACAATGGTGGAGCTACAGCTTTACAGTTTGCTGTTATCCAAGGTTATATTGGCATTGCTCGTATGCTATTGGATGCAGGTGCAGACGTCAATGCACTAGGAGCTTCAATAAATGGAAGAACAGCGCTCGAAGGTGCGGCTGAATGGGGCCGTATTGACTGTTTGCAGCTCCTGCTGAATGAAGGAGTTGCGGTCGAAGCTGAATGTAGTAGGCAGTTTCTTCGAGCTGTGAGATTGGCAAGTGTCAATGGACACATGGCCGTAGCCAGATTTCTCAAGACGAAATTTGTTTGGACGGATTCTGACTTTGAGTGCGAATTCCATTTTCTTGACGATACGGAGGAAATGACGGAGGATAGGTGTCGAGACTGCCAAGGTGTGTGCTGAAGATGAAGTGTATGACATGTCACTGCCAAAATTTTGGGTTCAATTCATAATGTATTCCATGCCGGTCGTTCTTTATTGTGGCCATTACTTCTATCACAAAAGAAATACATTTAGATATGCTCGTAGGCCAGGCCTCCCACCGGATCATTTGATAGCCTCAACAATACCCTTACCACTTCCAGGGGGCTGGTAGAAGCTAATTTTCGTTAGTCCCACGGACGCAAGAAGATCCCGCCACTGCTTCTCGGAGCTTTCAAACGCCGCAACCTGGACCATCATCACGATGCTCAGATCTCAAAGCTACGTACGGTTAATGAAAGCTTCACTAATTAGAAATGTAGATGAAGACACTGCACTGACCAGGCTCGAGTGGTTGCTTCCATTGTTGGGTCTGCCATCACCATGTTAAGAGGTGAGGGCTTGAAGTGTTGCAACCTGCTTCATATATCCTGTCGCGGCGAGAAGCCGTGTAATCTGGTCTTGGGAAATTCATATATTAGCTCCATATGGCCTATTACAATTTTAATTTTTATGCTAAATATGATAATATTCTTCTAATCAACAGAGGAGAATGCTGCTAGTGAACAATGGTTAGATAGCAAATCTTACCAACAAGGATCAAGCTTGCACCAGACTTCTCCGCAATCTCTGGAGAGGAAGCGCCACATTCTGGGTTTTGGCCGATTTGAGTAAAAATGCCCAGTTGAACGCCTTACGAAGAGCCATTAAAGCTGGGGAGTGCTGTCAATTCAAAATTAGTTGCGATATTCGAAGGAATACAATAAAAAAATCGGAAGTCTTGGACGGAGAACATACCATCACTACATCCTGAATAACCCTCTCAACAGGTGACTCTAGGACAGTAAATAACGCTCGAGCAGCATTCAGTGCTTCTGAACGTGCTTGCTTATCGAGGTTTGGGTCTGCACGCTACCGGCCAAAGCAGCGATCTGCGACGAGAGGGATATGTCCTTATTGGTCATGGTGAATCGTTTTGTACTCCGTAGTGCCACAGAACTTCCAGGATTCTCCGAAACGACATATTCAAGTTTTTAAATTGTTCTGTACCTGAACGCCAAATTTACAGGGGAACAACAGGCTCTTCGGCAAATATGGGCCTAGGGTTCCCGTTGTGTGAACCGTGCTCACCAAAGCAGGTCCACCTTGTAAACTAGTATCACGCAGTAATCTAGCCCAGCTTAAGCTAGCTAGAACTAGCATAGTGGAATACTAGGGTTAGATGATGGGTGTTTCGAGCCCTCGATGTTATTTAATTTTTGTAGGAATGGAGTAGGTGTCTCCGGTTCTAAACAATAGATCTGGGCTATATGGGAGGGGCGTTCCGTTCCCGTTCAGGTAGTATAAATGAAAATTTATAGTGTCAATATTTGTGATTTTACCTAGAAATCGAAGGAAAACGAGGTGTATAGCTTCACATCGAATTTTCCAAGAATTCGAGCGAATCTTTGTTTTATTGAATTGATACTAGGAATTACCAAGCTAATCCTTCCGCCCCCAATTGTTCTAATCTTTAATATAAATCGTTCCAGGTCGACCTACTTCTAAACTTAAGGCGAGTAATCAAATAACAAGGCAAATGCATATTAGCTAAGATCTTTTGGATTCTAATGACGTGAATCACCTGTATTTGCTAGTTCCCTAGACTATCCATGGATGAATTTGATATGTACTGGTATAAATAAACATATCTTAGCCTGTACGACTTGCGGGCTGATCCCGAGCTTCTAATGGGTTAGGTTACAAAACCTCCTAAATTTCTCTTTCACTACTTCAGGTGTAATCCTTGCTGGGTAATGTCGTAAAGGGATTTGGTTTTGACAAATTTAGTCTATCTTACATATATGGCCTTCCAACCCCGCCTTCAAGAGATTTATCGTCGTCACTCCCCCCTGTAGCTTCTCTCGTTCGCCATATGCTCAATTGGCTCGTACTGCTCTCGACATCACATGATTTCTGGTTTATATCCTTCAAGGGTAATTCCGTGAGAGAAAGTGTGCGCTTAGAGCGAGGTTGTACGGAATTGTATGAGAGCTTGAGGCCGGAGCCCGTTTCTCTGCGTGGGGTGACTTCGTCAGAAGAGTCAGTGGTAGACTTGAATGCCTTGCGGAATAAGGGACGGAGTGTCGGGATACAAGCAGCGACAATGACAACATTTTGCTCGATCCTAAGCTGGATGTTAGCGCAGTGAGTAAACAGGTGCGGGTGGTGGAGACTTACAGCCCCCAAAGAACCAATGGTACCACCTTGAAAACTGCTAAATATTAGCTGCTGAGTTGAGTAACAAACAGAGAGAGGTGCACTAACGAGGATCAGTGTGGTCAGTGAATAGTTTCAAATATGTCGCTTTGACAATCGTGACAATCGCGGAAAGCAGTGTCAATCCCATCATAATGCAAACACCCAGTCTTGTCGAAAATGGCATTTGCAGTTTCCAAAATGCAGAAATTGGCACAACAGCCAAAATGATATCCGTCATGGTTGTATATGCGCTGACCAAATAGGAGAAGCCATCGAAAATATCCGAGCTCCAACATGTGCCATCAATGGAAGAGTTCCACATTTTTGCTGTGGGTTTGCATTGAAAAAAGACAATGAATACGGAGATCATAGCTAATATAACCTGGAAAGTGACCATGGTATACAAGAGTCTTGCACGAAGTGGGTTGGGGTCAAGTAGGTGAACGATTAGGATGGCAATCGAGATATTGGGAAAGCTAAACGCCCCTAGATATTGACCTTGGATTTAGTACCTAGTTTTGTTCCACTAATTGCATAGGTAAGACACACCAATATTGAAAGGGAATCCAATAATCTGCCAGTAGGCTGATTTTTCGTATCTCTCAATGCCATATTCGGCAACTACAGTTGCAGTGTGTCGGCCTAGACCAAGAGTGACCGAATATGAGACGAGTGCGGTGGCAATGATGCTGAGAGCCTAGATAACAATATTCACAATGTCAGTCATGCCTATGGAAGTTTAAGGGGAGTGTTTTCCTTACCAGCGAGAAAAAAATAAAAAAATCATCCCAGCCAAAGCGTTTACTATCAATCCGGGCGAATAGCTTCAAAGCAACCGCTACGATCGCAATGCCAGTGAAGACCCACCCAATGACATTGATCTCCGCCCCTCGGGTCTCACTATGATCAACATTTGTGTCGAAGGAGGCCATAATAAGGGGGTTTAGTCCATGTTATGCATTTGATGTATGGGAATTGAACGAAAAGAGACTCTCAAATAGCGGGTTTCTAGAATAAAAGGGAGTTGAAAACGATTCTGCGTAGCAAATTAGTTAAACTAAACCCCGAAAGAACCCTTGTATAACTTGACGCATGCCTACGTAGTATAATCCGTACAGAGTATTGCAGTACATACTAGCCGGTGTGAGTGTATCGACTAGTATTCCACAATCGCGAAGGATTCGATTATTGTAGCTTGCTCAAATCACTTCCCGAGGTCAAATGTTTCACTTGATTCTTTATCGATAATTTTTACCTATCACTTCCGGTGATCCAGAAGCAGTCTTGATGATATCGGCATTTTCCTCCATATATTCTGTATAACCTTGACAGCATGGGATGATTGAAGCGCTGACCGTGCGTCCACGACGGGTACCCTTATTAATTACGGAGTACATAATCTCCACCTGCGTTCCGTTTGAGCATAATTGTGATACTTGTTAACACACCTGAAGGGCGACATACGATAGTAGGAAAATTGTGGATAAACCCACAACGTTGGAAGTAATGGGGGACTATCTTATAAGGGCACAAACTGTGAAGTTTTATGCACTTTACAACATAGGCACAGCTCAACGAGTGGAGCCCAGGACTATGTATAATACTAGTACGGAGTAGAGTCATTTAATAATATTTTCCTAAATTAAATCATGTGGAACCCCTGCTTAGCAAGCTAAACGGTCGGCTCATCTCTTAGCTCCTGTTCCGATTGTGTAGGTACTTTTGTACCTAGGATTAGAGAATCTTTCAAACGTCTAGACCAATAAACATGATTCATTTAATCCCATTATACTCCATAAAAAGACTTGACATGAGTAATCGGCTCCCTACCCTTAAATTACTCCCCGTGCCTCTACGGCGTACTCCCTGGCATCTACGTATTGAGGCGAAAATGGCCCGATATTACCTCGTTTCAACTCCAAAGGAGCGCATGCCCTCTTACTACTTTATAGTAACTCTAAGATAAGTCGAAAAATTGGTTGGTTAAAGGCAGCTCTTAGGGATCCACGGGTGGCTCAGAACTTCATCCGTGCCCCTACTCGTACTAGCCCCAGACTAAACTAGGAAAATAGGACGACGAGGGAGGGGGGAAGGGGGAGGGGCAAGCATGTCCCCTAGCATGAATTATTTTCCCTTTTAAGTGGTCGACACCCCTTGACACTTAAGTATCAATTGTCACACTCTCGACACCCCTTGACACTTGAGTATCAATTGTCACACTCTCGACACCAAGTATCATCATGGCTTCCCCATCTGTCTCCGAAATTCTGGATGGAATTGCCACTTCGCGCGTGGCATTCGACAAGAACGAAGCAGGCTCAAGAGAAACGCTAATTGACCAAAGCCGCGCGCTGATTGCAGCGTTAGAAATTCCAAGCGAGTTCGTCCAGCGTACTTTCTGGGCCGAGGTTAGAAAATGCAACATCATTGAAAGCTTGCTTTGCTCGCAATGCTAACTGGACTTCTACGATAGCCAGCTCAAAGCGCCATTATCCGTCTCGCCGTCGATGTTAAACTTTTCCAGTGCCTCAAGGATGCGGGAGATGCAGGACTCACCCCATCGGACTTTTCCCAGAAAACCCAGGTCGACAGTGCTCTCCTGCAACGTTTAACAAGACATCTCGTGGCGATGAACCTTCTGTCATTCCACGATGGAGCATTCCACGCCACGAAACTGAGTAATGGTCTAGCAGAGGAGAACTATCAACACAGCATCAGTTTCTGCTATGATGTATCGCGCCCTTCATTTAATGGATTCCCGGAATATTTCAAGAAGTCCGAATATAAGTCCCCGACAACAGGTGGAACTGATGGCCTATTTCAAGAGGCGCACAAAACCAACCTGCCGTTCTTTGAATGGATTGTTGCGACACCACCGCATCTCCAGCACTTTGACTCTTTCATGAGCGCCTACCGCGCGGGTAAGCCAAACTGGCATGAGTTCTATCCCGTGGCTGAGCGATTAACCACGGGCTTCGATGCTTCTATTAGCGATGTTCTCCTCGTCGATGTCGGTGGCGGAAAGGGTCACGACGTGGCTACCTTTACCGCGCATTGTAGCCCTTGCCCGGGTAGAGTTGTGCTCCAGGATCGAGAGCCTGTCATCGCAAGTGTTGTAGCTAGTGGCATGGAGCGAGCTTTTGAAGTGCAAGCTCACGACTTTTTTACACCACAGCCCATCAAGGGTGCACGCGCATACTCTCTTCATTCGATTCTCCACGATTGGAGCGATGAAGATGGCATTAAGATCCTGGAGAATCTTGTGCCCGCTTTGAAGAAGGGTTATTCACGGGTCCTGTTCAATGAGATTGTGATTAATGAAGGAAAACCCACACTTGCAGCGACCAATATGGATATGATGATGTTGGCGCATTTTGCTGTGAGAGAAAGAACGGAGGCTGATTGGAGAAATATTCTGGCTCAAGCTGGATTGAAAGTGGTCAATATCTACACCTGTCCCGGCGTTGCGGAGAGTTTGATCGAGGCAGAGCTGGCCTGATGGCAAGATTGCATGAGCCTTTCAAACATCGTTGCATCCTATAGGCTAAATATTCTCAAAATGTCAAGTAAAAATTAAACATAACCAATTAACCTTAAGGGAGACTGAACATATTGACCAACCTTAGAACCTCGGAACGAATGGCCATTTTAGATGATATTAATACACGTGACCTCGCGTTTCCCGTCAACTCGCGAGTTTTGTCGACTTCATCTCCAACATAGAGCATTATGGGGCTTCGACATGGCGGGATCCTTGTCAATGCCATCACGAACTCCATTACTAAAACGGAAACGAAGCCACGAAGACGATCGCGGCCTCGAATCCAATGTGCCTCCACCCCCGAACGCGTCGCCTAAAGACCCTGCCGGTAAAACGCCCTCGACTACAGCGGATCCTCCTCCCAATGAATCTGATGCGCAAGGAACTAGAGCTATCGAAACTACAGCCACCAAAAAAACAGGCAAGGGGAAGAAAGTTACCTCGAAACCACCTAAGCCCTCGAAGCGAACTCCATCTGCGCCATTGCCAGATGCCTTTAAGCGCCTCTCACAAACTCATCGCGCCTTGAATCTAGTTTATACATTTTGCTGTACACGAAAGCACTTTGCCACTACATTTGACAACATAAAAAAGGCAGTACAGGCTCAACTTGGTCAAGGGCGAGAACTCACTGTTGAGGATGTCGCACGTGTGAAAGTCATAGTTCCTGGATCACTCCGGTTCGAATATGTGAACGAAGCCAAGTTGGAAGTCATGACGGCCGGAGATGAAGAAATGACTCAGTATGGGTTACACAAGCGACCTATTCTGCCATTTACGGCAGACATGAACACAGCCGAAGATGCCAGAAGTGGCGATCTTGACTATGCAGACGATACAAAGCAAGTTCTCTTATTTGAGTTTATGGATGGAGATCTGAAGCGGGAAGTACTGAACCCGAAGACTGGCGAACCCATGAAACCTATACGTCGAATGAAAGATGAGGATCTGAAAATGCCCGTCTACAGCCAAAAGCAGATGCTGGCTTTGATTGAAAAACGAAATGCCAAGTTCTCAGACGCTTTGAATGTGTTTTTAGTTCAATGTGAGGACAATAATACTGATCCAGTGGAGTCTCTTGAACAACAGAAGAATTCTTTCCTGCCCACCCTTCCAAGCAGCGGGACAAACACCCCTCTTACTGCGAAACCGCCAGCAACGATTCCCAAAGAGCGAAAATCCATTGAGGAAATCATTGCAGAGATCCGGGAGATGGATTGGTATCATGCACAGATTGTGCCGGAAGGCCATCGAGTATTTGAAGCCCAGTCTCCTGTCTACGGAGATTTGACATTCCAGCTCTCGCAAGATCTAGTCAATGCTCTGTATAACACAAAAGGAATCACCCAAATGTATGCTCATCAAACAGAGGCCATTAACCACCTGTACGAGGGCCATAATGTGATTGTGTCGACTTCTACGAGCTCAGGAAAATCCCTTATCTATCAAGTCCCCATGCTGCACGAGCTAGAAAAGGACCCAGATAGCAGGGGAATGTATATCTTCCCCACTAAAGCTCTGGCACAAGATCAGCGCCGCAGCATGATGGATCTACTTCAGTATATGAACGGGCTACAACACACAATGGTTGAAACCTTTGATGGGGACACACCAATGGGGAGCCGGAACATGATTCGTGACGAGGCGCGGATCATTTTCACCAATCCTGACATGCTCCATATTACAATTCTACCACAGGAAAGTTCCTGGCGCACCTTTTTGAAGAATCTCAAGTTCGTGGTTGTCGACGAGCTGCACGTCTACAACGGCCTGTTTGGATCTCATGTTGCTTTTATCATGCGACGCCTCCGCAGGATCTGTGCTGCGGTGGGTAACCAGCATGTCAAGTTCATATCTTGCTCTGCTACTGTCGCGAACCCGGAGGATCACATGAAGTCTGTCTTTGGGGTGCAGGATGTGAAACTCGTCGATTTCGATGGATCCCCCTCTGGTCGTAAGGAGTTTGTTTGCTGGAATACGCCATTCAAAGACCCCAAAGATCCTACCTCTGGGCGCGCTGACACTGTCACTGAGACTGCGAGGCTGTTTTGCCAGTTGATCCTCAGGGGCGTGAGAGTCATTGCCTTCTGCCGAATCAGAAAGCTATGTGAGATTCTCTTACAAGGCGTGCACACCGAGTTTGCTAGACTCGAACGAACAGAGATCGGCAAGCTAGTAATGGGCTATCGAGGCGGGTATAGCCCTCAAGATCGGCGCCAAATTGAAAAGGAAATGTTCGAGGGGAAATTGATGGGAATCGTGGCTACCAACGCTCTGGAACTGGGCGTCGATATTGGCTCCCTGGATGCAGTCATTACCATGGGTTTCCCATACTCTATCTCCAATCTACGCCAGCAAAGCGGTCGCGCCGGACGACGTAATAAGGACTCCCTCTCGGTCCTAGTCGGGGACAGATACCCAACCGACCAACACTACATGCAGAATCCAGATGAAATATTCACACGGCCAAATTGCGAGCTGCAGATCGATCTATCCAACGAGCTCATCCTCGAAGGCCACGTCCAATGTGCTGCATTTGAGATGCCTATCCGCCCCGAAGAAGACAGCATCTACTTCGGGCAACAGCTCCTTGCCCTAGCTCCAACCCGCCTAATAAAAGATCCCCTCGGTTTCTACCACTGCCACCCACGCTTCCGCCCGCAGCCCTCCCGCAACGTATCAATCCGCGACACAGAAGACCAACACTTCGCCGTCATAGACACAACAAACAACCGCAACATAGTCCTCGAAGAAGTCGAAGCCTCACGCGCCTTCTTCACAATATACGAAGGCGGGATCTTCCTCCACCAAGGCACAACCTACCTCGTCAAAGAAATAAACACCGAATCCTTCCTAGCGCGCGTCGTCCGCGTTCACGTCGACTGGAACACCACACAACGAGACTTCACCGACATCGACCCCATAGAAACCGAAGCAATGCGTCTGGTCAGCAACGACCCCGCAGCCTCTCGCGCCTTCTTCGGCGCAATCCAAATCCACGCCGTAGTCTATGGCTTTTTCAAAGTCGACAAGCGCGGCCGAGTCCTCGACGCTGTCGCCGTCGATAACCCACCAATAGACCGCCTTACCAGGGGCATGTGGCTCGATGTCCCAACGCGCGCTATCGACATCCTGCAATCGCACCGGTTGAACATAGCCGCCGCCATTCACGCGGCTGAGCACGCCGTGCTATCCCTCCTGCCCTCCTTCGTAGTCTCCTCGCCTGGAGACGTCCGTACAGAATGTAAAGTGGCGAAGAAAGAGCTTGGTCGGCCGCTACGTCGTGCAAATGTACCGAGTGAGTTTGAGGAAAAGCTTAAACCGCCTTCACGGCAGAGGCCTGCTCGGCTTACCTTCTACGATGCGAAGGGTGGGTCGTGTGGTTCTGGGATTGCTAGTAAGGCGTTTGAGTTTATTGGGTTGCTTCTCCGGCGGGCGGTTGCACGCATCGAGGCTTGTTCTTGTCTTTCCCCGCAGGGCTGTGTGGAGTGTGTTTGTGATGAGCGATGTAAGGAGATGAATATTGTTATGAGTAAGGCTGGCGCTGGGGTTATACTGCGGTGTTTGCTGGGGTGGGAGGTTGATATTGATGCCTTGCCATGGGGGGAGGAAGTGGAGGGGACTGAGTTTGGAGTTGGAGCTACTGGGGAGTTGGCTGGCGGGTTAGAGACTGTCGTAATGGCCGAGGAGGTGCCGTGGAAGGCTGGGTGTCGGGCTGGTTGTTGAGAGCTATTATAGTTCGGATCACTATCAAGTTGTGCCGATTTCTGTCATGAGGTATCCAGCTGAAACCCGGTGCAGCTATGAGATGTAGGAAATCCACATCGCATGGAAAGCTAGCTCCCTAGACTCCGTATGTATATACTTAATTGCCTCCGCCGGCTGTTTCCAAATCTTATACAGGCATGAGACTCAGTATGAGAGAGTATGTAGTGGTTGAGTATTGCTTTGAGATTCAAGGGGTCTGAAGTTCCATTCCATGCCGTTCGTAAAATCTCAATGTAACCTTCACACTCTGTTTTCTTTTATGCCAAGTCTGTCAAACCTTCCAAGGTTGAACCCACGGAAGAGCTCATGGACGACTGTCATATTTGTAGCCGTGGAGCAGTTGAATGATTCGATTCGGGCCCTGCCGTTCCGCTCGTGTAAAAAAATAAAAAAAAATAAAAGAAACCTTGGAAGCTTGGATGAATAAATGAGGTATAATGAACGGTATCAATCAATGATCCTATAGAAGTTGGGTATAATAAATGTACATCAAGTCATGACCGAGAAAGATGTCTTCAGGTCCAGATGAAAGGAGGAATAGTAGTGTGACAAGGAAGATAGGGCGAGAAAGGATGATATGTGATAATGATAGGGAAGGTTTGGATGAGACACCACATAGTAAGGATAATTGAAGAGAGGGCGGAAACAAGATGGGAAGGCGTGAGAAGATGGAAAGAGCAGATCGAAGGATGAAGACGTGGGTCGATTTGCATTGGATAATGGTAAGCTGTTCAACGGGAACGTGGTAATTGTGTCATCCAGTCGCAGGATGTGAGAGAATTTGGTTGCCTGATGTTGTTAGGGTAAGGGTAGTATGTAGTGAGCACGTATGTTTTGTGTGTTTCGACGTGGAAATGTCAATGTAATAGGGAGTCAGGTTCAAAAAAGTGATGCGGAGGCTGAACTCGTAGATCATGAGAACCCAGAATAGATGATGCCAAGACAAAACCCCCATTCACTGAATACCACTATGAATGGCTCCGGTTGTTGTCGGTTTCATCCAGATTCAATCTCCCCAACAGAGACTTCATATCACGGACATTCTCGCGCATCTCATCACGTGGCTGTAATGAACGTTCCTCCGTCAAGGAACGAATCTCGCGGACAATGTTTGTATATCCTTCATCATTAGGGAGCCACCAATGGTTAACCTCTGGAACTTGCCAGATGGCAGCGAGCCCGGTGCGGAAACTAGGGGGGATGATATACCTATCCGTATAGATGGCTCCTGGTTAGCTTTGCGCTTGGTCTTTCAACTCTAGAAGGCAGATAAGCCGGTAGTGGCATCTTACCCATTTTGCTCCAACAAGGCTAACCTGCGTCGTGCCCACATTTGATACTTATGCTCCCTGGGAAGAAACATGCCAAGCATGCCAATAGTGTTTTTAAACGCGAGACAATATCCGTTTTCCTTCTGAGGCCAGCGAATCATAGTCTCGATTAGGCGGCATAGCTCCTTGGACAATTCTTGCAAGTCTTGAAGCAAAGGCTGCTGTAGGACTTGCATAGTCTGGAACTTGTACATTATCTCGGTGGAGAGAACATCGACCCAAGCATAATTGAAATCCCACAAGGCACCACGATACAAGACACCGGGCACGTATGGATCGGTAACGTCATCTTCTGTCAAGGGCTGCTTCTGCGGATACTTTTGCACTTTGTAGTCGTAATCATCGAATGTCCTTAGAATCGTCTTGGCCTGCTCGAGCCACTGGCCCAGATGTTCATTCTGGATAGCGAATTGTTCCATTGATATCATGCGGCGAGATAACTTCGCATAGAGGGAAGCCATATCCAAGCCGAAGCGTCGGTTGATGGATGCGACAAGCGCAAGTTGTTTAGATGGATCATCCGGATAGATAGCGGCTTGCTCGGCGTCATACTGCTCCTTTGCAAGATACCAGTCTCGGCCGAGAACTGTTTCGGTGCCAGCCAAAATCCCCACGACTACATCGAAACGTGCGTACCATAAGAAGATACTGGTGTGTAGCTCGTTCGTGTTGGCGGACTCTGGCGTAATTAGCTTTCGCATGAATGCATGTGCCGCCTGGTGGTGATCTATCAGGTTCATCCAATCGCCGATGTATTCCTAGCAGTGCAAAAAAAAAAAAAAAAGTTAGAAAAGAGGCGGTACGATAGTCATGGGGAGAAAAGAGCAACATACCTCAAATGTTGTCAAGACAAGAACAGTACACAGTGTAGCCTCAGTGTGCTCCTCTCCAGAGCCCAATGATGTTCGCAGGAGAATCAAGGCTTTATTATAGTATTTCAAGAATGTGTAGAGCTTTCCCCCAGGGTTGTTTAAAGAATGATGGTAAGCCGAAAGTCCCACTAGGGCGTAGAGGAGAGGCTCATAGTGCAAAGCAAGTTCGATAAGGCTGTGATGGATGAAATGAGAGCAACCCTGTCTCAAGAAGAAATGCGGAGGAGTCATAAAATCCTGCTGGAAATTTAAATAAAATCGCAAATCGTCCGGTAGGCGCGCGTTGTTGAGCAATTCTGTTGTGGAATGTCCAAGGCTGCCCGAGCGCACGCTCATCGACTCAAAGCGCGACTCAGCCGATGGCGAACTACTATGTTCTTTGATATAAGGACTAGCATCAGAAGTGGGTCTTGTGCTGTGCTTCCGAAGAGATTGTGCACTTTCACTCTTACGCAGGTCCGGCTGTGATGTGGTTGTGCCGCTTGCTGGGGACGGTCGGTATTCGGATACAGAACTGTCGGGTTCCTCTTCGTCGATAATGGGCTGCAAGGGGCTGAGAGTCTCGGGGTCTACCCTCCCAGATGAATCGCTGCCGTGCGACGGCGGGCGACCAGCACGCGACTTGGCTGTAGTACGCGAGCTAGCCTTAGAGGATGTGGACGATGATGCGGAGGGTGATGGATAGACACAATCACGACTCCCTTTCCTACAACGTTCACAAACTGGACGGTTCTCATCGCACTTGATACGGCGCGAACGGCAGGTAAAGCACCCGCTCCGGGTGCGCTTATGCTTCTTCTGGTCCGAGAGAGGTTGGAAGAGGGCTTGTTTCTGGGAGGTTGTATATGAAGGGGGCACTATCATCGTCGGTGCCGCGGAGGGATCGTGCCAGAACGCAACACTCTCAGGATACTGTGTCGGGCCAAACAGGGAATATGCAGAAGCACTTGATTCCTGTTTCATTGAGTCGAGGAAGCCCGACATGGCCGTCTCGGGCGACTGATGTGAATGCGTCATCGTATCGCAAAGCCCATCTAGACTCCCCTTAATTTCCCCTTAATTCCCTTGATTCCCTTAGTTCCATCCAAGTCAGCAAGATGAAATCATCTTAATAATTTCAAGATATGAAAGAAGCCAGAAGGGGGGAGGTTGAAGTTGGTGGGGGTTGTAAGTAACCCAAACTAACCTTGGAACCGGGGACGTGCGGAGATTAGAAAGGATGGGAGGGAGAAAAAAGATCAGTTAGCTATAAAAATGACCATTTCGAACAGATTCAATATTTAATGAATTAACTTATTTCTCATTAGTGTTTCTCATAATTCTATTTTAGTGCCCAGCCTCTAGACTAGCTAAAGCCTGATCTGCGACCGATTCATGTATCTAATACGATGTGTACGAAGTTCATAGTACGTTGTATTCTGGACTCTAACAAAGAGTACAGAGTAGATGATGAAATATAGAATATGGAATATGTGGATATACTATGGGCTGATCCAGGAGAGCTCCCCTCCGGCTAAAGCTGGACAGCGGAGCCACAGATGGGCCTTAGTATAGGTATTGCCCTTCAAGGCCATATACAGAACAATTTACGGAGTACTACATATGTACATACTAGTTTGATAACAATCTACTAGTTTTTTTTTAAAAAAATATATATATATATTCTAATTATGTATTATGTATTCCATTCTTTTTGGATGTAGGCAAAAGTTCCAAGTTACCTTCTAAATACTACATACAAAGTACTTGATACTTTGAATATCATTACTACTTTAGCCCCTATTCCTTGAAGATCAAGAACATCTTGAACATAAACAGAATAAAAAGCAGATCTACACGGACGAGCCTCGGGTCTCGGCGTATCAAAAAACAAAAATTGACAGAGAAAAAGAAGGGGAAAAAAAAAGGGAAGGAAAAAAAAGGGGGGTGAGAACGACGATCCCAAGCCACAGAGATAAATCCAAGCAATTCTGGTATTAGGGCTTGGCCGGGTCTATGCAGAGGATCATGATCATAGCGCCTAAGGATCTGTCCCGGTCCCCCGAGCCCTTTTCGGTTTATGGTACTCGGAGAGATGTACTAGTCATGGTATATTTTGGAATCAATTTCCTTTGTTCTTTTTTTTTTCGGGCTTTGACCGAAGGAGAAGACGGATCCCCGGGGATTTTCTCTCTCTCTTGGCTTTTGGCTTTCGCCTTTTTTTTCCTATTTGCATATTGACTACTAGTGGATCTAAGTTAAAATCAACAAGGGTCCTGGATATTGAGCGATTATCAGTTGTGAAGTTCTATACTTATGTACTTCGTACTTCGTACTCCCTACTAGTAAGCTGATGATCAGTACCAGTCGGACTGTACTCCGTACGGAGTAGATAATGTTCGAACGGCGAGTCCCGCATCAAAAAGGCTAAATTCGGCAAATGTAAAACCTTCGAGGCCAAGGGAGAAAAAAAAAAGAAAATTGCCGAAAACGCTCTGTTGACGGAGATCGGTTCTAAGTGGATGCGGCTAGAGTTGATTGTGGGAATCTGGAGGTCCTGATTCGAGAATGGGAGAAACAATAGTCTGCACTATGATTCACGGTCTCTCTGGGAAATGTGGGGGGATTTCTGGTTCTTTTTTTTTCTTTTTCTGTCTCTTCTCTTTCTTGACTGGTTCTAGTCAAACTATCGGTGTGCCATCACAAAATACAGCTGTAAGCTGTTGCTACCTCATCCCGCCCTTCTAGCTTTCCGATTCGAGGGGCTAAGACATGCATGTCCGGGGTTTCAACCGGCCATGTGCCTGATCGACGATGGGTTGACAGAGAAGGTGGGCCTGGTAGATCGAAGAAAATGACACTAGTAACACTCTTCGAAGTCTTGGATCGACTCCAATATCGGCTTACGTATCTTAATTCAGTTGGGAGCCCCGAGATCTTAGACGCGTACTCCCTAATTTAACTTGCAATATTACTCCAAGGATCAAGATATAGTAAGGGGAAGGGGGTTAGGAATATCAAATGGAAATGCACGATGTAGATTGCAAAACCCCATTAAACGGTCGGAAATTATACCCAGGTGATAATCCCAATATTTCAATATTTCAAAGTAACAAATGTCTAGGCCGTGCACGAGCATTTAGTCTCCATACACTCCGTACATAATATCAGTGAAATATGTGCATACATATAAGCTAAGACAACGCTAGGGGACCCAGCTCCATGACAGATGTGAGTACATATTACCTCACGAGCTCTGAGACTGCTTCATACTCCGTAGAGTGATTTTTTTTTCCAGCTTTGGGGGGATCTTTGGGAGGGTTTGGCTCCCAACTCCCCTATAAAGTAGTTAAATTGTACATGCATAAAGTTGATATTGATGTATCTGTGAGATATAGATCATAGATCCTGCGCTTGTGGCATAAGTTGATATCCCCACCGACCCATTTAGCACTATACCTAATTGAGTATCATCCTGAGAGTACTAAGGTTCCGGGGACTGTGAGATCAGCAGCAAAGTGTGGTTCTCTAGTGGACTCTTTGGAGATCATATGGCGTTGTGATTTGCAAGGTGCGTGCGCTGAATATGAAACGGGATTTTTATACAACTCTGCATTTGATTTTTGGTTGATTTGATCTGATTTGGTCTGATTTGGTTAATTTGAATAGAGAATAATAGAGTTTAGCTAGATTATCGATTTATATTGTGCCCCACGAAGAAAAGTGTGTTTCTTAATAGGCAAAAATATATCGGCCCGGTAGTTTACAGCCTTGTATTGGCTACCAAAAGTACTTGCATGATTTTTTTTCTTAATATTAATGGCCCTGCATCTACCTATATTGTACGGAGTACTAGTATTGTGGATATAAAGTGGCTGAAATTAGAATATGTACTGATTAAAAGTCCTGTTACTTTGTAGATTTTCTCATGTCTAATGGCAGCGAGAGCTTATTACCCCGAATCTCAATATAGCATATCAATATAATGGTGTTGACTTGGAGGTGAATTACATATATAACATATTACTCTACACGTTGTGCAAGGGTTCACTATATTCTAAAGAAGCAAAGAATCACTGGCTCCCATACTAGCCCGTGCCCGAAATGGTTATGATATTCGCCGATCTCAAGTGACGGGAGTAATTGAGTTGACGCCGGTGAATTTGGGGGCCAAAAATAACCCACGTACGAAGTAATCTACCAGCCCAACATCTGAATGGGGAAACGGTGGAGCCCGAATAAGAGAACCAAGGTGTTGGGAATTGGGTTTGATCTGTCACGCTGGCGCCACGATCATAGGCCCAACGGCGAGTTCAGCGTTACAACGCGCTTCTGATTGCCCACTTTCTTGTCTTTGCATGGACCACACCTTTCCTCTTTTGCTATGATTTTCCTTTTCTTGATATGGTTCCAATTTACGGGCTGCGGTTCCGCGGCTCTAACATCCAAATTGACACTCTAGAACACATGGAATATACACTAGCTTGCAATATGATCATATGTGTCTTTTTATTTTTCTGCAATCATACAAGGTATACGGAGTATATAGTCATAAATCGTCAACAGCCCCGACGATTGCATCATTCGGGATTGGTAGTCCTGGGTCGATCCGGGAAGCGCCTTGTCCCTTCTATGAGTAGTGTCATCCAAGACAAATGGGTATTCATGCAGTTGAGCCTTTTTGTTTTTGGGCCATCAATTCCTTCACCACTTTATCCACTCCTTCAACGACGACTCCCCACTCGGTCTCATGGACCCGAGTTTCAAAGGTCTCGAGGTTCTCATCCTGGCCCTTCTGGAAAGGGATCTCCCGCACCAGAATTGGTGTACCCATATCCACCTCAGAAATGACATCGTGCATCATAACACCGGTCTTATCAATTTGGCCCTCCAACCACGCAGCATGAGCACGTTCGATCGCATTCTAATGACCAGGGGAAAAGAGATATCAGCATATCATCCCAGCTAAAAAGGTACAATTCAAAAAAGGAGCTTTGTGACTTACAACGCCGTTGAACGCACCCGGCAGCGCGGGGTGCAAGTTGATGATTCTTGTCTTAGCAGCCTCCAGGGGCTCCAAGAACTGCGGCGAGAGAATGTGCATGAAGCCGAGACACACGACCAGCTCCGGCGTGTCGGCAAGGATCAGCTTTGCAAGATCAGCATCGTATTCCTCGCGCGCAAGCTGAACACCTTCCGGCGTCGCGGGGTGCTGCTTCTTGTACTTGACGAGATTATGGTATTCGGTTGGGATGTTGGCTTTGCTGGCGCGCTCAAGACCGAATGCGGTTTTGCGATTGGAGATCACGCGGACGATTGTTGCCTTTAACTGTCCTGCGGCCACTTTATCGATAACAGCTTGTAGATTTGTACCATTGCCAGATATGAGGACCGTGACGCGAATTGGGGCGGCCATGGTAGATTGTAGATTTATAGGTCTCTGGTGGGTTGTATGGCGGGGTTTTCGTGAAATTGCAGACTTCGGAGATGGAAAGGATAGAGTGCACGGTTGAAACTTTTTTTCGGCCGCGGTGGGGTCAATTGAGTACCCCCGTAGATATTGATACTGCAGATGCTACTCTCAAAGTTTAGAGAATAACGAAATAGCACAATCTCGCTGGCGCAAGCTAGCAATGGAGTTGGGGATATGGCCCAGGCGATTTTTTGGATTACCTAATTCAGCCGCGCGGGGCAACGGGCCTTCCAAGACTGTAGATGAGATATTACCTACATACTATGTAGGTATACGAGGACCATCAACGGCAATAATTATTATAACAAAAGTATCCAAGGCCGGCTGCATAGCTGCATGGGTGTTTTTACATGTATTTTAATATGTTAAACATTTCCTGGCTAGTTGGAGCCATGGAGTATGGCCAGCCACGGTGTAAATCTACGTAGTAGACCGAATAAAGACCTAGAATTGATAGACGTAAAGACTAACATTCTCGGGGTGAAAGTCCGAGTTATCTTCCAAGAGGGTTCCTTGTTTCGAGGCCCCGAGAGCAAATATTCAATAACCCAACATGATAAAAGCACCTAAAGTGGATGCACAGAAATGAAATGCAAAGGGGATATCCATGGGAAAAATCGTTAAAAGGTTCTAAGCACACGCTGCATGCTAAAGCTAAAAGGGAAGAAGAATTTAAAAGTCAGAGTTGGGAGTTGCTCACATGGGTGATATGACCATGCTTGCTAGGAGGTGGAAGGGATCAGACGGCTGTACCATCTGGAGCTGGAACTGGGGCAGGAGCAGGATTGGGTGCCGGGTTGTTAGTGTTGGAGTCGTTGCCTGTAGTTTCGTTGACGCCTTGACCTCGGCACAAAGGACACGAGTTTCTCCCGGTGGTTAACCACTACAACATATAGTCAGCAACCGAACATAATGATAGATGGACAAGATAACAAACCTGGTCTATGCAGTCCTTGTGGAAGACATGTTTGCATTTATTCAGCTCTCGAACTTCCTCGGCCACCTCATAATCACTCAAGCAGATCAAGCAGCGCTCGCCGTCTTGGATTTGAATGGCGCCAGCGCCTTCGACGGCTTCGGCGACCAATGAGCCTGCATACTCCACAAGACGGAACAGTCCGCCGGCGGAGTTGATGTCGGTTTGAGAAGCGACAGGGGGTTTGGCTGGACCCAACAGTGATGAAAGTAGGATCATATCCTCGTAAGTTGGGTTCTGTTCGAGAAGTGTTAGCAACCAGGTTCCTGATGAAGGTCAGTAGGGCATTCTTACATCAGTAAAAAGGCTTGGTGTCGTCAAAGCTGGGTGGTTTTCAGAGAGGTTGGTTCCAACAACATAGATTAGCCAACTTCGACCTCCGCTTGGTGGGGGTTGATCGGGCTCAACCATGCCATTACGTCGAACAGCACCAGATCCGAGGGCCCGATGACGAGCATACTCAGAATCGCTTCGGCGTCGCTGACGGGCGGTATTGAATGTCATAGGCTCTTCCAAAGTTTCCGCCGTCGGTTGCATTGCCCGATCTTCATGGAGATTGGGTAGGATATCTGGAGGAATTGCTGAAGCAGAGGATGGTCTACGGCTTGGGGTAGAAGTGCCGGAGGACAAAGCAGACACCCCCTGTTCAGCTGGGGTTGATGGAGGCGGGTGCGGTCCCGGGGGGCTGTCAGAGAAACCAGAGGGGTGGTAGGACGGGAATGCAGCACGGGGCCCACTGTCAGACATTCTTCTAAAAGCATTGGGCACTGATGGGCGTGGGAATTCCGTGGCCCCGGCGGGGGCCTGTAGTCCTGCATGGCCTGGGTGCCGAGGAAGGTGTAATCTGGATCGCACGTCACCCCGCTGGGTAGGTTCACCAGTGGAATCTTGAGGCCGAGGGATAGTATTAGGTGGCAAAAATGGTAGGCCGAGCAGAGCATCTAGAGCGGGGCCCGGGCCTGCAGGCTGTTGCTGCTCAGGATTACCTCCATTTCCGGATGGGACGGATCGAACTCCAACGACGACCAGTGTGACTGTTCGTCCTTCACCTTCGGCAGGCTCATCAACATTCATACCATTGGTTTGGGTCCCACGGCCGCCGACACCATTCGCGCTCTGCCCTGAAGCGCCTGGGCCTGTGGGAGATTCTGAATTGGCAAATCGGAACACACGCAAGAAATTGACGGGATGTGAGGGTGCTTCAGTTGCACTATCGCTTGGCCCATCCCCTGTTGCACTTGGCTGAGTCTGCGCAGAAGTTGCGTGCTGCAAACTCTGGATGAAATTCTCCAAAGAGCCATCTAACCCATCATTACCCAATGCCTGGATATTAGGCAACGCAGGACCAGCAGTGCCAGATAGCTGAGCTGCAATTGCGGATGCGGCGAGCTGAAGAACCCTTGACAGAGGCGTTTGCTCTTCTCGTCGCAGTACTCTGGATGATCTCGCTCGGATGATCCCAGGCAATCGGCGCATCAAAGCAGGACTTGGCTCGGTAGGAGATGAATCAGTTATTGGCCTCCCGGACTGGATTGCTGGTTCTACAGAATCAAGTTCATGAGGCGGTTCACCGAAATCCAGACTCGTGTCCATGGCTCTATCATCAAATAAGGGATCTGACATTGGATATTCTGGGCTTTCGTGAGGCCGCAAATCCGAGTGTGGCTGACCGAACATGTGAGAAATGGGAGATGAGATCGAGTGACGCATGCGTTGTAGCCTGACACTGCGACGCCAGGAGGCTCTTGTGGGCTCGGGTATTTGAGATGGAGAGTCGATATATGGCGGGTTTGCTGGTGCATCTGGAATCCCAGCAGACTCCGCGCGGGGTGGAATAAAATATGGCGCGCGAGCAGATCGGCGCCGAGTGATTCCTCTGGGGCTGAGTGAGTTGAACGCACTAAACCGACCGGATGTGTGGGCAGTCTCAGATCTTGGGATGGGCATAGGAACTAGGCCATATCGATGCGCATGTCCCTCTGCCGGGGTCTCTTCTTGACTATTGAGAAGTCCGCGAATCACTGAATTGGGAAGAAGCCTAGATCCTAGCCTTGACATGGTCGATTGTCTTCGTGCTGCCATTCGAGCAAATGCCGCAGTGCGGTATTCGCGAGGTGGAAGTTCATACTCAGGTCCGTCCTCCTCCTCGATGCTCCGCATGGGTTGCGAACCCCCGGCGGAGAACCGGCTTGGCTGGTCGGATGCCATATCTTGATCGCTCCTGCTGTGTGTGTTCATGTCTGTCCGGGGTGAAAAACTACCCTCTCCGTTGTGTTCGGCCGCCTGTCTATGATTCATATCTTCATCCCTTGTGTTAGGGCCGCCACGCTGTATCGGGAAAGGTGCAAGGTGTGCCGGGTAGCCAGTGTTGGATGGATCACGTTGCGTAGAAGCGGACTGTCCCATAGTAATAAAGTTGTGGCCGTTGGGAATAATGCAGAGAGTGTCAACGACTGTTCATTGCCACGCGAGGAACATATGGCTAGTGGTGGCGACCGTATCGATCTTGGGTTGAACCTAGGAGATGGATATCGGGTGCAAAAGGGTTTAGAGTGATGTATGAAACAGATGTTGATTTCTTGCTCAAGCTGACAGGGTGGATGCAGTTGATTCTCGGGAATGGTTCTGAAGAGGCCGTGTGTGTCGGGCTTTTGGAACAAAGGAGTGGAGAGCGGACAGGGAGTTAGCGGTTATCGGGTTATTTGCGATAGGTACAAAACGCGTAAGACAATTTCACTGCCCAATACGAGCAACAGCGGCCAGAGGTCTCAAGTTTCAAACTGTCTTAACGTATCCAGGCACAGCCCACTCCGAGTGGTATAACCGCCGACCCTTGAATCTCGGGGAGCTATGGTAACAACGCTCAGAGAAGAACAGCCAGCGACTGGCAAACGCGAAACGGAGGTAAAAGATCGCCGGGCAAAAATGAAAAGGGGCAAATAGAGGAAAAGGGAGGAGTAGAGGAGTCATATCAAAGCAAGCAATTGATAGAGGACGATAAGTGATGATGTTTGCCTTCTTTGCTTCGACTCGGGTGCCTGAGGCACAATATATTCATTCCGTCATCTTCCACGACCCGTTTCTCTGACAAATGCGCGAACACCAATTCGCGCAATCACAGCCTAGGCTCTAGTACAGACTGCTACGGCTCTTGCCTTTTTTGGTGGCGCATGGAATACGCCCCCTTTTGAGCATATGGCTGCGCCGTCTTCTTCGGTTTTTTCTCTACCACTACCGTCTTGGCTCCAGCCGCCCGGCACTCGCGTATCTCAATATGACCGCCGGAAACGCAAGAAGAGTGTGGGGTGGAGTGAAAGCGATCTGGATGGCGAAGAAACAACTGATATCGCCTCGGCTACGGAATCCGAGCCCGCTGGTGCTCCATTGATATTGACGCCGAATGAATCCCATCAATACCGAATCGCGGGTTTCCCATTCAACCAAGAATTGCCCCAAGGCCATTTCCCTCATAAGCCAGAAAAGGATGAGAAAATCAGAAGAGAGACTACCGCACGCCACCTCAAAGACTTGGCAGCATTATCACCTCCAATCTACCCTCCTCAGTCGGCCCAGCAAGGCAACATTCGCTTCCAACATCTGGGTGCATTGACTGCCATTTTACATCGATGCATGCTCCAAGGTGATTATGTTCGAGCCGGACGAGCTTGGGGTTTGATCTTGCGCGAAGACTACAGAGGCTTTCGAATGGACGTCCGCAACGAAGCAAGGTGGGGCATTGGCGCTGAAATCTTGCTGCGGCGTGACCAACAGGAAACTACAGCCAATCCTGATACAAAGGTGTCGAATGCAATGGATAGCACACCCATAAATTTTACCGCCAAGGGCTTTGCTACAGCCAAGGAATATTATGAACGACTCATTCTCAACCATCCGTTCATGAAATCTTCACCACAGTCTATTTCCTCCTTGCACTTCTATCCTGCAATGTTTGGGCTTTGGGTGTATAGCACCCAGCAAGAAAGCAAGGCGACTAGGAAAGATATTGTTCTTCGCCAAGAAGAAGACTCTGATGAGTTTTCTGAGGATGAAAATTCAGAGTTTGAATTTGGTCATCGTGGGAAATCACGAGACAAGACAGGTGCTGCCATCACAGCAACTAGGGCACGGGAGTTGGAACAGGCGCAGCAGATTGCTACACGTATGGACCAGCTTCTAGGGTCTCCTCCATACTCTGACTCGCCTGAATTGCTGGAGCTCAGAGGCATGATCTCTTTGTGGATCGGTGATCTGTTGCTGTCTTCGCTGTCATTACCGGTTGGCTTTGAAGCAGATGACAACCCCGACCGGATGCTTATGGATGAAACCCCAGGCTCTCTCGAAGCGAGACTTGAACACAGGCTTGCAACTGAAAAGAGAGCAGCCGAGATCCAAAAATCGATCGAGCTCTTCGAGAAGGCCAAGAAACGAGGCAGGAGTGTCGCATACAATCTGGAGAGTCTTCATATTGATGATGACTCTGCTGATTGAGGTTCTGGCTGAGATGGTTTTGATGTTCATATACCGTGGAGTTTCTCGTGTAAACTTTTATTTAATATACCCCTAATAGATTGCATCTTATTTATAACTGAAGATCTCTCTTTCAGTATAGTAGAATTCGTTGTATAAGTTGTACAAGATACGAGTTACACCTTCATGTAGCCTTAGGTGGTTGTGGCATTCACAATGTAGCCAAGCAAGCAAGTTCAAGGTTGTTGGCATTTATGCCGGGAGATCACCGCCGCTCTAAGCCCCAATTACCGTCGATGAGGCTTGAAGACGTTTGAAATGGTCGACACGTGACCACGCGGTGATATCGCGTTTGCCCCGACAACCTTACCATAGACTGATCCTCATCGTCTTTCAGTGTCATCAAAAAAAAAAAAAAACAATTTTCTTTATTCCGCCTAACATAGCTAGCCACCAAAATTATCATGGGGGTTGGCGATTATGTCCACTCTAAAGAAGGTGGCCAGGCTCGTGGAACCCCCGACCAAGCCATCCAGTCGCGCCAGCAACGCGCGGAACAAGCCAGAGTTGAGGTACCAATCACCCAGCTAGTCGATCCAAATGTTCCGGGTGTCAATGGTAGAGGTGGCTCGCTAGAATTACATGGTGCATCTCAATTCCCAAATCAGCCCCACAATCTTCCTACGCATGAGATGCAGCGAGACAGAGATGTGTTTGACACAGATGTGGAGGCGATTGATGATTCAACTGTGGCAGGGACTAGCGTCTACGGATTTGATGACAACAAAGCTCAGCCATCGTCAAGTACCAATGCTGTCTACACCGTCCCCGATCCAAAATCGATGTACCAGCCCCGGCCTTCACGGCATAATTACGGGACTAACTGGTATGAAGGCCTGGGCGACCAAGCCATGAAGAAGGCCGGCTTTGATTCCGATGATTTTGATAGCTTTGGAAGCCCAATGACTTCGTCTCTTGGCGGGGATGGCGGGGATAACGAAAAGCCCGACGAAGCACACAACTGGCATGTGTCGCACAAACCACGTACAACCGAGGAGCCATTGAGCAAGCGACTGGAGAATTTCTGGTCCGCCAGCAGAAAGAGAACTTCTTCGCGGCAGCCTGTCACTATAGACTCTGACCCTGAGCCTCAGACTCAACCACAACCTAAGTCTAAGCCGCGGAAATTGGGCCAAATGCTTCCTCCTACTGGGCCCAGGAAGATACTTCTCCCTCACAGCTCGTCGGTAACACCCAGGACACGCTTCAGTCCACCAAAGCCCTCACTTCTTGAACAGCTTGACCAAAAACTCGATGGATCACCTACTCGTCACAACTCTCAACCTCCACCAGATGTTGGCCGGCCACTCAGCATTGCATCGTTTCAAGATCATACTGACAGTGACGGCGGAAGCGATGATGGCATGGACCACACCATACGCGCAGATGGACGACGGGAAAGCAGCGGGCATTCAATCAACGCTTTTGATATGACCAGTCTAACCGATTTAGACGCCGACCACACCATGCTGGATCCGTTTTTTATGCATGATTCCCATGATTCCCATGAATTGCATGAGCCGTCGCATCGTAGCCGTCGCAACACTGTCATCCATTCTAGAAAGCGATCACTTGAAGCGGACTACCCCCCAGAAGTGCTTTTCCAAAAATCTTTCTCCGAGCTGCAAGCTGAACCCTTTGACAAATCCCCCACCCCCCCTCCACCTGTTATAAAATCGCCCTCCTTGCCACCAAACCCACCTTTTGTTCCAGATACGGAGGAGCCCAGAAACGCCGTCTCTCATATGTTGGCTCTGGCGGACGAAGAACGCCAGACTTGTTTATCACACATGTCAATGGATGAGTGGGAAGACTGCGGAGACCAAATAATCGACCGTTTCACCCATCTCCTCTCAGAAATGAAGAACCTACGACGTGCCCGCCGCCGCACAGCTGCTGTGTTTGAAGGCGAAGTCAAGCGCCGCCATGACCAAGTTGAAACACAAAATTCGGAGTTGACGAATAAATTGACCGAGATGAGAACCGGCGGTGCAGAGGTTCTGCGTGGACGCCAATCATAAGTGAGAAATAGCCTTGCTCGTCATGGCTTGTCGTTGACCCTTATTTTGCTTGAAATGATTGTGTTATGCCCTAAACTACCCACCACAGGGCTTGATTTATGCATGTTCAATACCCCCTTTACCTTTCACGCTTTTAACTATTTCTTAGCTATTCTTTCTCTGGGGTACTGCGTGGGGGCTTATCGAGTTCACATTGATATGTCGATCTGAAGAGTTGATTCTTTTGCCAAAATGATGTATGATATGGACAATGCGTAGCTTGCCCGCCAAAGTTATGCTATTTAACTCAAGGTGTATTCGCCCAAATGAAATGAAATACCAGATATAATAACGCCATCGATCCACGATGCAAGAATACCCCATCTCTCAATACAATCAACGAGGAGATGAAATGAAAACCAAAAAAAACCGTAATCCGACGTTAAGTAACTTATCGAGACTCGGCACCTGGTTTATAAAGCACAGCAGCGAGTCTCTTATAGTCTTCTAGTAGAACAGTTATGTCCCCAATCCGGAGATCGCGCGCATCCTGTGTGTCAAGGAACCGCTGGATCGGAGGATCAATTTTCAATGAAGAGGTGGGCGATGGGCTAACCAGGCCACTAGTACTGTCTACCGAGGCAGGTGATGGCTTGAACCTGTCCAGTCCGGATGGAGATACAGACCTGCCGCTAGGAGTTTCTGGTGCGGTGCGGCCAAAGTTCTTCATCATACCCGGGATGTGGTTTAAAGGATTGAGTGTGTTGCCAAAGTTTCGCATTGATTCTAACGGAGTAGGTGCGCTGACGGCTGAATTTGATGCAAAGTCTTCACGTAGTGATGTCGTGATGGACTTTTTACCGCTCTCCTGGGTTCGGGTGCTGTCCACACTTCGGTCTCGAGAGGTAGGGCCACCGCTGGAGAGGTCCATGAGTCTTGAACTACTGCGCGGGGGTGTGCTTTCATCCACGGAAACGGAGTTGATTGCTTCGAGCTCCCCTTGGGTCAGGTTTTGGTTGGCGGCAGACGCTGGCTGCAAGGTCACTAGACGGCGAGCTTCGGCAAGTGTCTTTGGCAGTATTGGTCCGCTACCATCGGGGCCGGGTCCTTGGATGTTTTGCATTTCCTTCAGACGACCAAACAGAAAATTGAAACTGCTGTCCAATGTAGCACCAATGTTCTTCAAGCTTTGGTCGGCAGTGGTGCGCACAGCATCATTTGCAGCCCCGAGGACTTTAGAAGGCGGTTGGAAAAGGTTGCTGAGGCGTCGTTGCTGTGGTGTGGCAGAGGGGCGAGGCTTGGGTAACGTAGAGGAGACGGGTTCTTTGATTTCTGGCTTTGACAATTCTGGCGATGCAGATACAGTCGTCACAGCCGAGGTTGTAGTCTCCTTGGTGGGCCGGAAGGGATCAATATGGTCTGCGGATGGTGTTGTCGTCTCACTAGGGGGCTTGAGAGGGCCATCTTGCAGCTCATCTGCACGCAGTGTAGAAAGATCGACGTTTTCCAAAAAGCTTATCGCGGCCTCTAGGTTGGTCAAGCAGTATGCTGTTTCTCCGTCAATTTTGTTTGAAGACCTGAAACGCTGAATGAAAACCAAGTTGCTGACAATATTGATCCCTTCAGGAGGGCAAGTCACAAGTGAATAGATTAATGTGGGTAGAATCTCGTCTGCAGAAGAGGAAGATGGTAAGAGTTTAGTAAGAGCATCGACGATGGCCTTGTGCGCTGCTGCCAGCTGCTGAAGCTTCCCAAGGGGATATTTGTAATCGTTCATCTTCGCGAGATACTCTCGGGCTTGACAAAGGAATTCGTTCGCCTCGTCCTGTTTCTGCTCATCGATTGCTTCAAGGTCTATATCGATCCCAAGGTCCTTAAGATTAATGCCGACCAGCAGCAAAGCTGCAGTCTTGGAACGCAACTTTTCATCTCGCACATCATCCAATGTACTCTTGTGCCTCCAGAGTTTATCATAAACCAGCTCGCAGACCCTCCGTTCGGCAGCCTCTTCTAATGCACTTCGTTTGTTTTCAAGGGCTCTACGAGCTTTTCGCCTTTCAGCTACTTCGGACGCTGTCAACATTTGGCGACCTGAAGCCCCTTGTCTGACATCATCTTGGGAGCGTTTGCTGCTCAGTTTCGACAGTGCGCTGCCCCGTATAGCTTTTGTAGGAACCTGAGGCGAAAGATCCCGATTGATACGAGTTATGAGAGCAGATATATGAGTGGCAATGTGGGACTCGGCGCGGCTGTAGAAAACTTGGAAGAGCTCAGAGATCTTCTCGATGGTGGGAGGCGAGTTATGTACTCTGGCGCTGAGGGAATTCACAAAGCTATTGGGGCAATGGATGTCAGAAAAAAACGTTGAAGCATGTACGCCAATACGACCACACTTACCGATCTGCCAGGCTGATTAGTTCGATTGGTAGCTCCTCCGAAGGGTCTTGTACGCTTCGCGAAAGCACAAAGCCATCATCTGTCTGGGCATCGCCTGCGGTGCCAGAGTCTGCGGAGTCTCGTCTTTCAAATACGTCAGGTCCATTTTCCTGCCCCTCGTTATGGACAGGTGACGGCAGCGGTGTTGTTTTGGAATCTTGCTCAAGCGTGGGGGATTTCATGTCCGAGCCCTCCATTCTGGTGAATGACCGTGCTGAATGTAAATGAGGCTGAGTGCTAGTATTTCCAGAGGGGCCAGACATTTTAGAGCCAGGGGCGATGGGGTCCTACAAGGCACTAATTGCGTGTCTCCGCTCACAGATGCAGCTGATAGGTCTGTGCCGATCCGCGTCCGAGAACCCCCCCAGTTCTAGCCTGAGCCTGTTATCAAGTAAAGCGATCGGAAGTACTCCGTACTCCGTACCAAACACGAAGTATATTGTAGCTAATCAGAAGCAGTGCATTAATTTCCTGATCATTTTAGAAGACACCAAAGCTGACGAGTAATTGAATTCACGCGATATCGCGTCACGTCACGGGGGTACTCATCACGTGCCGATCGCTCTCCGCACTGCGTCACTGGATAAATGACTCGCCGATAACCGCGATAGACTCACGTCTCCTTGATATTGATCCTCATCATCACCTCCATCATGCTTCGAAAACAATCATGTTTTACACTCAGCATCCATAGCCTATTATTATCGGCTGCAGTATTATCAGGTGCTGCCTCCGCCTCAGGCTATTATCCACCCTCTCAACAAGTTCCCATCATCCCGCCCCAGATACCTTTGAATGGGGCCGGAGCTACACCAGACACCCATGAGTTTGTAAGATGTCTTACGCAAATTGTAACACCCTAGCTGACCCGTAATAACTGCTAATAGTCCCTGCGTCATATCTTCCACCGAGGTACCTATGAACAGCCCGACCTTCATGTTAGACTCGACGTCAATCCAGACACTCGCCTTCGAGCTGTATCCGAAGATGGCCACGAAGAAGAATATATTGCATCAGAGACGAATTTGCTTGCTTCATCCAATCCCCTCACAATACAACGGTTAGCTGACCGGCGACTCCCCGTGATTCAAGGTCACTTGGCAGCTGCGCGGTCTTCGGGATTTGCGGCTGCCTTGTCTCCATTAGAATGGGTTATGGACACGGTGCCTGGACCAAATATTACAGACAAGAAGACCGTCTTGACATTTGCACAAATGACTGCAAATGATTACATTGAGGATCCTGGAACAGGACAGTGGCACACTATCAATGGCAGATTCAACTATTCCGGGAGCTTCGGCTGGCAAAAGGATGGTTTGCGAGGACATATCTACTCCGATAAGACAAATGGCACTGTTGTCATTTCTCTGAAGGGTACTTCACCCGCACTTTTTGATGGTACCGGTACCACGACAAACGATAAAGTCAACGATAATCTATTCTTCAGTTGTTGCTGCGGCCAAGGAGGCTCGTACCTATGGAGACAATCCTGTGATTGTCAGAGTGCTACATTCACGGCAAATTTGACATGCATCGTCGAGTCTATGACTGACGAAAACCGTTATTACCAGGCAGCGATGGACCTATACTCTAACGTTACCGATATCTACCCGGATGCGAATATTTGGATGACCGGTCATTCGCTGGGTGGCGCAATGACAAGTCTGGTTGGATTGACGTTCGGGTTGCCTGTGGTTACTTTTGAGGCTGTCCCAGAAGCATTGCCCGCAGCTCGACTTGGCCTGCCAAGTCCGCCAGGCTATGACTCCCGATTTCCACAGTCGCGACAGTTCACTGGAGCCTATCACTTTGGACACACAGCAGACCCAATCTATATGGGGACCTGCAATGGAATCAACTCTGTTTGTACATGGGGTGGCTATGCGCTGGAGTCGGCATGTCACACCGGACAGATGTGCACGTATGACACCGTGGCAGACAAGGGCTGGCGTGTCGGTATTGGTACGCACAAGATTGAGAACGTGATATCTGATGTTATTTTGAAATACGACAGTGTTCCCTCGTGTGTCGCAGAGGAAGAATGCTTCGACTGTGAACTCTGGAAGTTCTTCCGAAGCAACGGCTCTGAGGCCACAACCACTACAACCACCAGCACTACCACATCTGCTACCAGAACTTCTACGTGCAAGACCCCCGGGTGGTGGGGCTGTCTGGATGAAAGCACTACCGCTACCACTACGACCACCACTACGACATCACTTACGAGCACTGCCACTACTACAACATGTATGACTCCTGGTTGGTTCGGGTGCAATGATCCTACCACAACAGCCACTCCAGCACCCATATTGACCACCACTTTGCCCACGGTGACTTCAACAACCACTTGTCACGACCCAGGGTGGTTTGGCTGTCGTGACGAAACGAGCACTGTAGCCACGACTACCGTTATTTCTGCCCTGCCCACTTCTATGACCTGTCATAGCCCGGGAAAGGTGTGGGGATGTTGGGATGAGTCCAGTGACACGCCTACGATCACATCGGCGCCTACTCCTACCAGCTAAACCCCATTCCTCCCCATGCATACTCTTGCAGCTACTCTTGGTAGCCCTTGATTTCAGTTGATCTGTAGGCTCTTGAGAAGCTTCAAGTGCTAGATATACCCACTCACTCTTATGATTTACTCAGGTATCAAATTGCTTTGATTCTCCCTTCCCTGCGATATACAAGACATGCGATTGGCGCATTGAGCGAGTTTTCTTTTTTTTTTTTGTTATTTTTTGAACGGCTCTTTGTTAGCACGATTTGAGATATTTTCGGTTATTTCCTGCACCAATTCCAAGGGAAGCACTATTCAGGCTCTTTGCCAAGGCACAGGTGGGATTCAGCCAGCTAATGCCTCGCGCAACATCTTGGAGGGACTGACCTTTGGGAGATTTTGGATTGCTCTCACACGAGAATTAGATGATTTCAATGAATTTCGTTGGATATGAGAATATATCTCCGGGGTCGGAAGCCGGGGCTTGCCGACCTCGGATTGTGCCGACAGAAGAGACACATTGAGTTGCCCAGGTGACATGGAAGTCGGATCTAACTGCTAAATTGGGAGAATGGCTTGACCTCCCCGGAATACCAAGTGTTTGTCGGTCTAGCCACAGTCCACTTACAAACCTATTTTTCCCTGCTCTAATCCCGGGGAGTGGACCCGATCGGATGACATCGGCCCGTTTGCGATTGGATATGGATCATTCTGCACAGTGGCATTTGCAGATATAGATTGTACATCAATATAGTACGTGTTATTGATATCGAGAGGCATTAGATTGTACTCCGTAGACAAGTGGATGATTTCCATATCAACATTCAGTGGGGCCATGGGATTTATTTGGACTTTTCCATGGCTCCCCCACAACGCCCTTTTTTTCCCCTATATAAACCACTAGTGCACCCAAGATTTTTCTCTCTCCATAGACAACCTCCGCCATCATGGGTCAAGATAACGAGCCTAGTAAGTTTTATACTCCAGCCCTAGAACACCCAGCTAATGCCCTCTCCTTCGCAGAAACCTACCGTTACAATGAGACTCCGGTCTACACGGCCTCCAATGGCTGTCCAGTATGCCAAGCTCACGTCCTCCTCAATCGCAAATTCTAACCATATATCTAGGTCATGGATCCTCAGGCTGCCCAGCGTATTGGCCCCAACGGCCCTCTTTTGATGCAGGATTTCCACCTGATCGATCTGCTGGCACACTTCGACCGTGAGCGCATTCCTGAGCGTGTGGTTCACGCCAAGGGTGCTGGTGCCTACGGCGAGTTTGAGGTCACTGATGATATTAGCGATCTCGTATGTACTACCTAGGCATTTTATATGATTCCGCAGGGAACACTAGGCTAATGATGTATAGACCATCATTGATATGCTCAAGGGTGTTGGCAAGAAAACCAAGATGCTCACTCGCTTCTCGACCGTCGGTGGTGAGAAGGGATCACCAGACAGTGCCCGTGATCCCCGCGGATTTGCCATGAAGTTCTACACTGAGGAGGGCAACTGGGATTGGGTGTTCAACAACACACCGGTTTTCTTCCTACGCGACCCTGCTAAATTCCCCGTCTTCATCCACACCCAGAAGCGTAATCCGCAGACAAACTTGAAGGATGCCACCATGTTCTGGGATTACCTCTCCACCCACCACGAGGCTGTCCACCAGGTGATGCACCTGTTTAGTGACCGCGGTACCCCATACTCCTACCGTCACATGAACGGCTATTCTGGCCACACATACAAGTGGATCAAGCCAGATGGCACCTTCAACTACGTCCAGATCCACTGCAAGACCGACCAGGGCAACAAAACCTTCACCAACGACGAGGCGACCAAGCTTTCCGCAGAAAACCCCGACTGGCACACCCAGGACCTATTTGAGGCCATTCAGCGCGGCGAGAACCCCTCCTGGACCTGTTACGTGCAAGTCCTGAGCCCCGAGCAGGCTGAGAAATTCCGCTGGAATGTCTTCGATCTGACCAAAGTCTGGCCCCAGAATGAGGTGCCGCTGCGCCGTTTTGGCCGCTTCACCCTAAACAAGAACCCAGAGAACTACTTCGCAGAGATCGAACAAGCCGCCTTCTCACCCTCCCACATGGTCCCCGGTGTCGAGCCCTCCGCCGACCCTGTCCTTCAGTCTCGTCTCTTCTCCTACCCCGACACGCACCGCCACCGCCTGGGCGGCAACTACGAGCAGATCCCCGTCAACTGCCCGCTCAAAGCCTTCAACCCCTCACACCGCGATGGCTACATGAACGTCAACGGCAACTACGGCGCCAACCCTAACTACCCTTCTACATTCCGTCCGCTCGCCCACAAGCCCGTCAAGGCTAGCCAGGAACACGAGAAGTGGTCCGGTGCTGTCATCGCCGAGCAGTATCCTGTGACCTCCGAGGACTATGTCCAGGCTAACGGCCTGTGGCAGGTCCTTGGCCGGACCTCCGGCCAGCAGGAGAACTTTGTTGGTAACATCTCCGGTCACCTGTGTGGCGCCGATGAGCGTGTTCGCAAGGCCACTTACGAGATGTTCCGTCGTGTTAACCCGGATCTTGGTGCTCGCATCCAGTCTGCCACAGAGGCTCATGTTACTGGTGCCCCGCCGGCGCGCTTGTAAGAGTGCTTTTCATTGCTTTTGTTTTCATACTAGAAATAATCGTGGATTCACTCCACATCACTGCATAGATATCTGAGCAACTCGAATACGATTTACGAATTATTGTATTACACCTTGATATCACCTTGGGGTTCTTAATATAGGAGCTTACTGGTTTCTTTGTAGATTCATAATTGAGCAGTGAGATATCAACCTCTGAGGAAGTCTGAATGCTCCTTCTATGATTGTAAGTCCTCAGAACTATCTCTTGATTTTTCTCTTAACTTTTGAATTGGGGAAAACTGCCTCGCCGCGCAAGACTGCGTAATAGGGAGGTAATCTCGTACTAACCTCTGGTATCTTACAAGGGAAGACTTCCAAACGAAGAAACTTTAAAATGAATATATTCTCTAAATCAAATGAAGACAACGGATGGCTTGAACGTAATGCTGTAAATAGTTGTAAATAGTTCACGGGTAACACTTACAATGAAAACTGGGTAACCTTCTTCTCTTAGATGATGACACGACCTATCAGTACCTAGTTAGTAATCACTTCCAAAGCGCAGGGGGAAATATATTCTGGGCAACTCACGCGTTCCAGTATAATTGATCCCGGGAACGGGCACATGCACGTATACTGGGTTAAAGACAGCATACACCACAGGACTGGCAACGTTGGCTATAGTCCTATTATATCTCCAATTGAAACTCTGGGCAACTGTTGTAGAGCCGGGGTAACCTGGAATGTCAGGACCAGTCGGAAGATTCAAAAATGCGTTCCTATGCAGTTGATAAATCAGTTGCGATCTGTTAATGTCTTAGGTTAGCACATTGATGTCCCAAAGTATATCGGAAAGGGAAACTCACACAAAATCTCTACAGCCAGTCAAGTAGTTAGTTGAGGCTGCGGCATCAAAGTAACAAAGAATCATACGACTGTCTCGGATGATATTAATCACATCCCCAAGTTTGCTCCCACTCACCACACGTAAGCGTAGCTGGCGAAGCGCGTCTTGGTGCGCGCCTGCGTATCGGAAGGTCCTCATCCTAAGCACACCTTCACTAGTATTCTCGTCGTATGCGAGCTCACCTTCCAAGTCCAGGATAACTCCCCGAGTGGCACTAGGTGCGTATGGGGTGTCCTTTGTCAGCTCGCGTAGGAACGTGAATCGGAGAATGGCATGGTTATTTCTCTCTGGATCATTGGGGTCTTCATCGCTTCTCGCCCCGACATCTATAAACTCGAGGTGACAATCATCAATCACCTTGCTTAAGAGGCCCTTTGGAATCGGATTCTCATCTATGAGCTCATACCTCTGATTTATTGTAACATTATTGGCACCAGAAGAGGGAGTATAATCAGGGTATACCTTATTGGAACGAAGAGTTCGTGGCATTTCTGTATGTAGGGTTAGCTCTTGAGATTATTCAACTGTAGGGACTATTTTTTAACTTACTGGCTGTTGTTGATGGATTGGGTGGTGGTGATAGATTGGTCGCTATTAAACTGGATGATGTTAGAGAACTGAGTGTTGTTGAACTGATTGTTGTTGATACTGAAATGTTGAGTATATTGTGCGAGAAACGCATTGTATCTTATATATTCGTAGTTCTTAGAGGCTAATAATTAACGAAACCATGAAACTGAAAGAAAATGCTTCATCATAGCAATCAAGGAACCTTTGAGATATGTAAATAAACTACAATGGATCGAGTCGCCAAAGAGACAAATATAGATGTTCAAAGCAACCCTCGAAAGACAAATTGGATCAATACACATTGTCCAAAGAGACTATAATCAATCGGGTTGATCAAAGAAGATTTATGAAAGAATTCCATGATAGAGATGTGGACATACTTGAACCAAGCCCTGAAGTTTGAATAGCATTGTTGGTCAAAGAAATGAAGTCGTCCAAGCGCAAGTGGCAAGCATCTATATTTGTGAACATTTTGGATCGATGTAGAATTAAATATAGAATCTAGAGTCAAAGGTAGTCTTTTCTCTCTGGTTTATAGTAGAGTAGCAATGGGATTTCGAAGCGCATCTAAAGAAAGAAGGCCAAATAAAAAACATATTATATTATGTCGTTATAGTTGAGTTTCCGATCTTTGCATCTATACAATTTATAATTGCTTATAATTGCTATTTCATACATGTAAGTACAACATAGGCGATTATACAGGCATCTTTACTACATAGTAGAAAACCTTAACTTTGGGGGTTTGAAGGCTTTTTTGGAAAAAAAAAAAAAAAAAAGAAAAGTACGTATATGTAGATATATGTTTGAGTGCATTTGTTACCGATGAAGTATGATGTATATAAACTATATACGAATATATGCAAATGATAACCTTGGAAGAATACTCCAATTTACATAGAGTATGATATAGTACTTCCAAGGTTTGTACATTCTTGTTGCTGCAAGGGTTCCGGAGAATTATAGTTATTACACGTGGCGTTGTGAGACATGCAGTACTATATTTTCTATCTAAATGGTGTCAAATATCTCTGAAAAAATTATATGGTCAAACTATAACCTCCCAATAGTAATCAAAACCGAAACGTACTACATAAATATCCAACTACTCCATACGGAGTATATAAAGTAAAATAAGATACTCCGTTACTAGTCACGAGGTTCAAGAAGGCTCTGGCCAACGGCCCATCATTTGCCCCATCCGGTCATCGCCAAGCTTCTCATCCCGCCAAAATTTGCGCTTGAAGGCATCCAGCCCGTGAAATCCCCCGTTCCCCGCCAATTCGAATCTTTGGCTTTTATCCTCATTCTGTCTAGTCCTTCGCTCTTGCCACGGGATTCACTTTTACCCTCGGGAAGTTAAAGGGACTTTTCGCCGCCCTACAGTGCTCCCGTGCAATGTTTTCAGCATTGTGGGTACTCTGATTTTTTTTTACCCCCTGACATCCGAACCAGACATCTGGATCAACTTTTAAACCCATACTCTAAGCCTCCATTCCACCCCATTCCCTCCTATCTTCGGTCATTCCGTCCATTCAATATAATATGGCTGAACCAAAGGCCTCAGATGTCATCACGCCGGTGGATGGCCCTCTCGAATATGACTACTCTTCGACCGCAGGACCGGGCTCGGACTCCTCCATGACTAAGGTCATTCAAAATGCAAAAGCAGCCACTGAGAAGGAGCAGTCTATGACCTTGATACAGGGTATTCGGTTGTACCCTAAGGCCGTTCTTTGGAGCGTGCTCATCTCCACTTGCATTGCTATGGAGGGCTACGATATTAGTTTGGTCAACAACTTCTATGCATTCCCGCAATTCAAGCGCAAGTACGGTGAACTAATAGGCAATGACAAATATGAAGTATCCGCAGCGGTAAGTTCAATCAATTCCGTGGATTTACCTCTTTGAGAGATGAAGGAACTGACAATTATCTGGATGTACAGTGGCAAGCAGGTCTGAGCAACGGTGCCTACTGCGGCGAGATCATCGGTCTATTCATCAACGGCTGGGCTTCGGAACGATTCGGTTATCGGTACACGATTATGACCTGCCTCATACTTGTTAGTGCGTGGACTACAATCTTCTTCACGGCCCAGAATGTGCAAGCCCTGCTCGCAGCGGAGATTCTCTGCGGTATCCCCTGGGGTGTCTTCCAGACTTTGACGATTACCTATGCTTCGGAGGTGTGCCCCGTGGCACTACGAGGGTACCTGACGACCTATGTCAATTTCTGCTGGGGTCTCGGCCAGCTTATTGGCATCGGTGTGATTAAGAGCATGTTGAGCCGGACGGACGAATGGGCCTACCGAATTCCATACGCCCTACAATGGATGTGGCCAGCGCCGCTCTTCCTTGGTATTTGGCTTGCGCCCGAGTCCCCGTGGTGGTTAGTTCGGAAAGGCCGCACCGAAGATGCGAAACGGGCCCTTGTGCGGTTGACCAGCAACAAAGAGGGAGATTTCAACCCTGATGAGACTGTCGCTATGATGGTTCACACTACCGCTCTGGAGGAAAAAATCACTAAAGGTGCTAGCTATCTAGACTGCTTCCGGGGTACCGATCTTCGCCGCACAGAGATTGTGTGTATGGTCTGGGCTATTCAAAATCTTAGTGGAAACTCCTTTTCCAACTACTCGACCTACTTTTTGGAACAGGCTGGGTTGAGCTCCTCCAACTCCTACTCCTTTGCCATGGGTCAATATGGCATCAACATGGTTGGTGTTTTCGGAGCATGGTTCCTTATGACACTCGGAATCGGCCGACGGACATTGTATCTGTATGGTCTTTGTGGTCTGTGTACCATGCTTTTGGTCATGGGTTTCCTCGGTCTCGTCCCCAAAGAGCATAAAGACCAAGCCTCTCTGGCCACAGGTTCCATGATGCTGATCTGGGCCCTATTCTATCAGCTGACCGTCGGTACGGTCTGCTTCTCCCTTGTAGCCGAACTCTCCACCCGCCGACTGCAAATTAAGACAATCGTGCTTGGCCGCAACTTGTACAACATTGTCGCTATCATCTGCGGTGTTCTGACCCCTTACATGCTGAACCCGGGCGCTTGGGACTGGGGAAACTACGCTGGCTTCTTCTGGGGTGGCATCTGCTTCCTTTGCATCATTTACACGTATTTCCGTGTCCCCGAGCCTCGCGGCCGCTCGTTCGCCGAGCTTGACATGCTCTTTGAGCGTGGTGTAAGCGCTCGCAAGTTTGCGACGACTGAGGTGGACGTGTTTGGTGAGACCATCGAGGGCCGTGTCGTTGATGATTACCGGGCGGAAAAGAACAACCGAACCGATCCAAGCCAATTGGAGAAAAATCACGACTCGATATGATGCGATGTGTCTTACGTTTACGACTAATCCTGTTTCTGGGCCCAAATTGATAGGCTCTTGGATATATATATATATATTTAGTATTTTTCAGCAAGTAGCATTAATCTAATATCTTCATATGAAGTCACACGCTACCCTGATGGAAATAAGGATATCTTGATTTCTCTTTTGATGCCATGAAAGCTTAATTTCCTGCATACTTCTTCAAAGGTTCCTTGGGGCTAACCAACCAGCAACGCTTTGAGCATCCGGAAAATGGGACGAGTGTGGATGAGGCGATGGGGCTGCAGACAAGCATAGGCAGAAGTGAGTTAGATGATACTGCTCTGTCCTATAAACGAGTATTCTTTTCTACAGCTCCTGCATTGTGAATTACACACAAGCGATGAAAAATGCCAGCTTCTTCATTCCAGATGAGGTCGTTCCATCATCTATTCATGGGACCACTCGGCCTTCTTCTTTTCCGCAAAGGCAGTCATACCTAGAATAATCGTTAGCAAACCGCCACTCAACCCCACTCACTCAGCAGGGTGTAAACTCACCAATTTTCTGATCCTTGCTTCCAAAGAGCGCGTGGAACAACCGTCTCTCATACTCAACGCCCTCCTTGAGCGACAATTCCTGGCTCTTATTAACAACCTCCTTACCAGCAATGACAGCCACACGGCTATAGCTGGCAATAGTCTCAGCCGTCTTATACGCCTGCTCAAGCAACTCCTCCTTACCACCCGACACAACCTTGGCCGCGACACCCCACTCACCAGCCTCCTTACCGCTGAAGTTCTTTCCAGTGAGGATAAGTTCCATGGCCTTGCTCTTGCCAACCGCACGGGTCAGACGCTGAGAGCCACCTGCGCCGGGGATTGTGCCTAGCTTGATCTCTGGCTGGCCGAAGGTAGCGGTCTCAGTGCAGTACAAGATGTCGCACATCAGAGCTAGCTCGCAGCCGCCGCCGAGGGCGTAGCCGGAGACGGCGGCAATGACCGGGGTGCGGATGGAGGTGGCGAGATGGGACCAGGGCGCGATGAAGTTCTCACTATAGGCGGCTGAGAAGCTTAGAGGGGCCATTTCTTTGATGTCGGCGCCGGCTGTGGTGGGGTTGTTAGTTTACTATATTGTTGATTGATCTACATTGGGATCAAGGGATGAGGGGGAAATATATGGGGCATGAAAAATGGAAATAGGGCATGTACATACCGGCAAAAGCCTTCTCGCTTCCAGTGATAATGATTGCACCAATGCTCTTGTCATTATCGTAGTTGCTCAGAGCTTCATTGAGCTCCTTGAACAAGGGACTGCATAGTGCGTTGAGGGCCTTGGGCCGGTTAAGGGTAACTATTATAGCTATGAGAATCGATCCTGTATTATATTGACTGATGTTGCATACTCAATCCCACGCCGGGCTTGGGGGTCGAAGTCAGGATGTGCTCGTAGCTACCGGCAGCTGAAGAATAACCGCGGAATCGGGCTAGGTAAGAAGTCAAGGGGACCGATGTCCGAGAAGTGGCCAGACGAGTGCATTGACGGGCAAACATTGTGATGTGTAAAGAACAAGGCAATTACTTTTGTTCAGATAATTAAGATTGAATGATGCGGAGCAAGGAGAGAGAAGCTACACGGTAACATTATAGATGACCGGTTTCCCCGCGACCAACTAAACGCCGAAGTTAACCGTCCCGAGGTACACGTGAATAGGCTAAACCCTTTTAGCAGATATTAGGTCACCACACCGCCACATATTCTTTTGTGCCACCTATCACGTGTGTATAAGTGGCTGGTCACTCATCTCTGATATGATTGGCCTGTGTGCGGTGGACACTTTTCTGGCCTAAAGGCGCAGTGCCTGTCCTGGAATGTCTGGTTTCAGCAGCTTATCTTAATCACTGCTTCTCTTTTGCTTACCTCTTTTCTTTCTTTCTTTCGGTGTTCTAGCCCTGTGCTTTGTCCATCCTCCCTGATATCGCCATCATGGATGTCCCTGAGCCCGATCAGTCGCCGTTCATGGCCGTGTCTGCGCACACATCTAAACTGACTCGAGTGAGTGCCTTATGGGGGGCAAATGGCATTGCGCAAAGCCTTTGGATCCCTCATTCCTGAAAATGAAAAAGTCTGATCAATATGCTAATACGTCTATCGCAGCACTACCAAGCCTACCTCGATGCCTCGACCCCCTACACAACTTACCGCTGGGTTGGTTCTGGCGTCCTCCTGTTCTTCTTCTTCCTGCGCATTTTCATCGCGCAGGGCTGGTATATCGGTATGACTCCATTGCGCCCCTGTAAATTGAATATACAGAGCGAATATGATGCGCCCCCAACCCTAACACATGAAAATCCATGACGCTGGGCACATCTGTATAAACAAACCGCTAACACTGGAATCTTAAATCACAGTTGCCTACACACTCGGAATCTATCTCCTGAACCTCTTCCTCGCTTTCCTAACTCCCAAGTTCGACCCCTCTCTCACCCAGGACGAGGGTCTTGAGGACGGTGACGCGGGATCCCCCAGCCTCCCCACTAAGAAGGACGAGGAGTTCCGGCCCTTCATCCGCCGTCTGCCGGAGTTCAAGTTCTGGCACTCGGCCACTCGCGCCATCGCCATCGGCTTCGTTTGCTCTTGGCTGGCTATCTTCGATATCCCCGTCTTCTGGCCGGTGCTTGTTGTTTACTGGATCATTCTGTTTGTGTTGACGAGTATGTTTTCCCCTTTCGCAATCCGATACGATCCCTATTCCATTTTTATTGTAAACATATGTCTAACTTGGCTCTTCAGTGCGACGACAAATCCAGCACATGATTAAGTACCGCTACGTGCCTTTCACCTTCGGAAAGACGCGCTACGGCCGCTCATGAGATCTTCGGTTTTTGAACTTCTTTTCTGTCTCTGTCTCTATATCCATGACAGTTCGCATGTGCATGTCCTGTATCTGTATGTGCACTTTGGCTTGGTGAGCAACGGACAGACATGATATGATAAAAGAGGTGAAAGCGCTGGGCTAATGGTCCATTTATGAATTTTCCCAGACTCTTTTTTTAATCACTGTTTGCTTAGAGGACCGCTGTTTTGGCGTGTTCCAGTCTTCTTCACCTGTGAAATATGATTAGACCTGAAGTCAATGAATGAATTGACTTGCAATATATTTTTTTTTTTCAAAAGACTTACAGTTTCTTCAAGTGGGTAGGTAACATTAACATTATTTTTTGAGACATTTCACGTGTAGGTTAGCGGATTCGCGCCCGTGATCTTGAGAAGAGCATTGTTTACATATGCAGTTTGTTAGATGATGTAAAGCCACGTGAAGAAGACTGTCAAATCTTCCACTGTAGCCTTTCCTACAGACTTTCTTCTCTTGAGAATTCCCATGAACTTGACCCTAGACTCCAACTAGCACTCGCACGCGAGTGAACAATCTAGGGCCATCATGGACATGATCATACCAGCAGTATTTTCAATATCCACTCAAATCACAATCCTCTTTACAGGCTGGACAACCTCAACCACAACCCAATCTGTCTTCGCATTGGCCTTTGTATTCTTCCTCGCCATCTTCGACCGATTTCTCGGCGCTGTCAAATTCCAACTCGAGAAATCCTGGTCTCAGGATCTATCTAACCTTCGACCTCTACTTCCTGCTCCATTGATACGACGACGAAGCATCCGAAAAGCAAATACCAGCCCTCTTCCAGGCTCCGCACGTGTGCCCGGGGGCGAGGATCCCGGAGAGACTTTGCCGGCTTCAAATAAGGAGTATTCACGAAGCGCATTAATGAGACGTCTCGAAATGGGTGGCTCTCGGAATAAGACTTCCCTGAGACACTTGCTTCCGTCTTGGAAGGCCAGTGGAAGTTGGTGTCTCCGAAAAGACGGAACACGTGCGTTGCTCGAGTGCATTAGGGCTTTGATTGGATATCTCTTGTGCGTGGTTATCTCCGCGGGTGTCCGTGTATTATCATGTGTTGAATGATCTACTAACTATTGGAATTGATAGGATGCTATCCGTGATGACCTTCAACGTCGGTGTCATTTCTGCTGTGCTTTTCGGAGTCCTTGTGGGCGAACTGATTCTTGGAAGATTCTCTTAGAGAACTCCTGGCTGGAAGGAATGGTGTTGTCATGGTGGATGATTGGGGATTCGACTCTCTGCTGGGCTTCATTTGCCCTGTGCAACCCTGTGCGATGTTCCACAAAGGCGACTTTGTGGGCTGCCTAGGTGTTGATTGAGAGGGGCTATTAGGGCTATCGATGCGGACGTGGCAATACAATCATGCTTCATTATCTACTTAACGCCCCGTAAAACAATGCCCATCGATATAACCCAAACAAGGATCTACCCTCAGTGTAAACATGATCGATGTGCTGCTGCTGTACCGGCTGAGTGTTGAATTCTGGCCTGCAAACTGTCGACCTTATTTGAAATAACAAATGTCACTAAAACTCTATGTCCAACGCAAATTACCAAGTCCATTCCTCTGACATGACGTACCTGGAGCAAGCGGAACCGTGATTGCCCAAACCTCCCGACAAGTACAGTCAATGCTATTGAGGTGTGAACACATTTGCCAACGAACGTCCAGCCTTGGGAACTCTCTTCATTGGTGGATTATAATTTGTGTATTTGGACGAGCGGTGGCCTCGAATACAGCATCCACTTTGTAGGGGCTGTGAGTATGTTTTTCTACAATCTGGTATAGATCTAAGTACGCCAGGAGATGTCTCACCAAGGCCATTTATCATCTTGACATGGCGTATTTGGGGATTTTCTGGTTCGAATATACCTGGGTGCAATAACAAGTGTGTCAATATCTACTGGGGCCCGAAAAAGAGTGAATATTGGATCTATTCATTAAATATTGAAACATAGCCCACATATTTTACGATTTAGACTTGCCAAAATATGCTTAAATCGGCGCTGGAGGATCGGCCGCTATATACCCTGTTCTTGGGACGTGATCTGTAGTGATCTACAAAGTTGCCGGCTGTACGCTATAATGAACCTTGCCAAAAGTCTTGTTTAACCTGTGTTTTATCGAAAATGTATCCCCGATCGCATGATGATAACAACTTGATTGCATATATATAAACATTTAGCTAGGATTTAAAGGGTATTAAGCTAAGAATCTTTCAAAAGATCAGAGGCGGATTGTCTGTTGTCTGGATCCATAGAGCCCTTATAGCCCTAGCGAAACATAAATAGCACTATATATGAAGATGTAGAGGTATGTGTTAAAGATCAGAGTTCGCATCTTAAGATATTCTCCGACCTAGATAGATCTGAAATTATTTTGAAAGAAGGATAGTTGAATCTACAAGATAAAGTTGACGGATACTATTAGGACAAGTTGTTGGCAGTTATTGCAATTCCATATAGTCTGGATCATACTTTTGACACCTGCGCTTTTGAAGGCAAGCATACGAAACACTCCATCTAACTCCGAATCATAGGTATCATAAGTGGCGTGATTTGAAAGAACCACATCAAGGGAAACAAAAAACAATTATCGCCATACTTAGATCAACAGATTCTCCACACTGCTCGACATCTTGCCTGCGGGAATAGCGCTATCGGTCAATGAGAGAGCGGACATTTTGCGGTCTGGATTGGGCCGGGACATGTCCTTGGTTTTAGTACAGATCCATGTCGATGCGTACATATTCACGCTAAAGCAGATATATAAGCTTTGTCCATAATAGTCAAGAACAAGAATTCCAAAACTTACCGGTCAATACATGAACCCGGGAAACGAGCTCCCACGCGACGAGCAGAGAAGCCGTTCTCCTCAAAGTGCTTGATGTACCAAGGATTGATACTGGCAGAGCGGAGGAGGATGCGACCACCCTTCTTCAAGGCTTTGTTGAAAGTTCGGGCTTGGACAGGGGCTGAGTCTCCTGCAGGATCGAACCAGTCCATTGAGTCCATGACCTGATGTCAATTTAGCATAAGGAATATTTCTAAAAAGTATTGTGATGCTTACCACGGCGATAGTCAGAGTACCCGGTGTAATACGATTGATCACCTCGTTGATCTCATCAGTGTGGATACGAAGGCCATCAAATGCACCAGGTGTGGAAAGCTTGACATGTGCTTGAGGAGAGAGATAAGTGGGGTGGCATCTATGATTGCAGTTAGCACGTGAAATTGAAAGGCACACAAAAGCGAAACGAACCTCCGTGAGAATTTGCCCTGTACGCAAAGGTAGTAGAAATAGTTGTCGTTGCTGATCAGAGTATCGTTGATCACAGGGTCAAGAGTATTGACAACATATTCCCAAATTGATTGGCCGCTAACGTCCTTCCCCTTTTTCATATCTTCAGTCAAGCCGTTGCGGCGGAAGAAGTCGTCGACAATCATATTTCGCTGGTTGCGTGGCACTCCGGCAGCCTTCCAGGCGAACCATTCGGTGCTCACAATAGCCCAGTGAAGTGGTCGGCTCATTAGCACACTTCGAATGCGAGGCCAGATTTCGCGCTGCTCTGCAATACTCTGCGCTTCACACAGTTTGCGAACTTCGCCCTGGAGCCCGAAGATATTGAAAAGCCATCGCACCATGCGGATAGCGTGGCGAGATCCACCAGTCTCATACAAGCCATAGCCAGAGGTAGAGGTGAAGGTCTGGCTATGCTCGAGCCAGTATTGGAAAGCCTGGCTGGACAGGTGAGGGCTGAGTTTCGAAATTAGCAGTTCACGGAACTGTGCGTGCTTGCCATCGCCGAAGATTTTCCACATATCCCGGTGACCCAACGCTGAATAACAGGCAACCTTCAGCTCGAGGAGATGGTTCTGGGTAGGGTTCAAGTCCACTGCGTGCACTCGGCGGGGGCCCTTTTGCAGATAATCAAGAATGTTGTCACCAGCGCTAGTGATAGCCAGGATCACATCGTCTTTGCCGATGTTCAGGAGACGGTGGTCAACTCGCGGGTCTTCCCATGTGAACGCGTAGATATATTCGTTCTGGAATTGAGTATGTTTGGGTAGCATGTCGTTGTAATGAATGCGATAGTGGTGGTTCTGGTAAAAGGATGATGGAAGTGGCAAGTTCGCACTCAGATTAATCACTGCAGACTCATACGCCTTTGAGCGAATCTCAAGTGTGCTTTTCACCACTGCATTATCCATCTCTTGCTTGTGATTGGCAGGAAGTAGGTAAGGAGACTCGGTGAAAGACGCATCCAGCTTCTCAATTGATTGACTTGATGGAGTGGATTCGATTTCCTTTGGGCAACCAACGAATATGTAGTAAGGAATACCACCAAGCAAATAGTTTCGTTCGCTGGCGGAGATGACAGTACCAAACTTGTATTCCAGGTAGTCTCTTCGGGCGGCTTCGAGACTGACCCGGTCAAAATCGAACCAGGCTCTCCAGAATACACGTCCAAGCCAGTTGACATGGCGGTTGAAAGCGCCGCCAGTATAGTTACGGCAGGACACATCCACAATGCTTTGAACTACATTTGAATGAGTAAAATTCATGCAAAACTTCGAGTATTTCTTACCATAAAAATCACACACACCCAACATTCCAGTTGACTTCAAGCGGGAGGTCAATGAGTCCACAACACTGTAATAGTCTAAAAAAAATCAACATCATCATTGTTGCGTAGATCTTTTCAATACTCACCAGGGATCATTGATAGACTGTAGCTCATAGTAATCAAGTCCACGCCAGCACTTGCTGCATTTTTAGATCGCGGATCGAACTCCTTATCGGGCAACTGAAAAGACCGGGCATCCTGGCAGAGAACGGTAACATTCTTCCAGCCAAGACGCTCAAATCGCTTGCGGGCAACTTCGCAGAGGGACGGGGAGAGGTCGACTAGGTAAACATGTTTAAAAAATGTATCCACTGGAAGAAAGGCCGCCATGGCTTCGATGTTGTATCTGTCGCAAGTCAGATGTTCGGTCGGTATCACGTCGGGGTTTCTCTCATGCCTACCCAGTACCACCACCAACCTGGAATACATTAGCGCCCACTCCGAAAAAATAACATTTCAATTACTTACATCCACCCAGACAGCCTTTCCTGTCTTGACTTCTTTGTTGTCAACCTTGTACTTTAGCTGTGCAGCGACAAGACCAAGCATGTCCTCACGACCACAGAGCAGACGACGACGTGTGGCATCGTAAATTGCGGCCTGACACAGTCAGCTTGGAACCATATCTAAGATGGTGATCATTTGATCCCACCTGTGTCTTGTAGAAGCTCTCCAACGCATCTTGCTGTCCCCCAGCCTTCTTATCGTGCGGTTTGAGGAAGTTCGCCCAGATAAATTTCAAGTAAGGGCCAACTCCAGTGCTAGCGACCTTGATATGCTGAGTAGAGACGAGAAGAACGAGGGAGATGAGAGCAAACACCAATAAGGCGGCCCCGATAATGTAGACGTGCATCCAGTCCATGTTCAATATGTAAAAAGCAATGCAAGGAACAAAGAGTGAGAAAAGCGAGTGAGGGATTCAAATACAAACTGAATTGGCTCTAAGCTCTAATTGACCACACGCGCCGCTCACGAGGAGACGGCAGCGTGTACCATGTCCTATCAGGGCAACACATGGGAGGTGGCAGATGATAAGAGGGAGTGGAGGGGCGAGGGAAGGTACAATGGACATGAATTGCAAGTATATTAACGGGCATTAAGAAAGTAACTTGTACATGATCCATTATAGCTCTTTGAATTGCAAGAGTCGATCATCCGAAAGTAGTATAAACCAACTTGTTGTAATTCCAATACAACTCTAAGGACAATTGGGTTCCTGCAGTAGCATATAATCGAGATCTGAGCCACTCACATCCCGGCCACTTCCCATGTGGTCCCCCGAAAGTCTTGGCATTGACGGCTGGGGTCCCATCGACTTGGCCCGTGGGGTATACTGTCCCCTCTATAGGGACGCCACCAAGGCCAAACTCGACGGCCCACGGGCGCCAATCAACTCCTTGTTTGCCAGCACACTGAGAGTTCCCCAGATTTGATGGGATCTCAGTGTCACCACAATTGAGGATAAAGTAAATCCTGAGCACCGGAATATATCGCGATCATATATAAAGTACAAAGCACAAAGTACGGAGTATTTTTGTCAATTCCGTTTGTAAATCAACTATATTTAGAATCACTACTCTGTACTCTCAGACCGATATTTCAGTTCTTGTTGAAATCTTATATATTAAGTAGTCGTGTATGACATTAGCTTCTCTTGCTATATTTTTGTTGCTTATACCTCGTCTTAAGATACAAAACAACAAATCACGGAGAGTATGATGCTCGGTTGAATGAATTGCACCTTGATACTAAAATATCCAATAGTGGCCGTCTAGTCGAAAGCTGGTGAAGCTATCTATCCCGAACGTGTTGTCAATGAATGCGCGTCATGACGGCTATACTTCGAGAGAGCTTGACTGATATGCAGGAGGGAAAAAAGGGCAAGTGAATGAATGCTGCATGAATTGACTAATGTGACCCTAGGTTACCAAGGTCCAGTCTACCAGTTGGCGATCCCAGGGCGATTATGGTGCCAATTTTGTAACTGTTCTGGTATCCTTGAACAGTGACAGCCTCCAAGTCCATCGCATGGATGTATGAAATACTATCTGCGGCAATATACGCTTCCCTAATATGTCCTGTACAGTCATCCTGGACAAGGAATTCTGTTCCGTTATAGGTGACAGGAGTACCGGCTTCCAATGGTCTTTACAACTTTTGAGATCAGCTCGTAATAAAAGTCTTAGTGGTTTGAACTTACGTTGGAAAGAGTTTGAAGTTCGATCCGAGGACACCATGCATTATCCACCGAACAGCAACAGAATGATCGGCTGCAACCGCTTGAATGGGTTCGAAGTAATATATATTCCTTCCATCTACTTCGCGATCTTTCAACAAAGGCAGTAAACTCATTTCTGTTTGTCACGTTGGTGGCCGAGCTTCCATTGCCACTTGCTGATGGGAAGCTGTCAACAAAGAGAACAACATCCGGGTGGAAGCTAGTGTCAATGAGCAACAGACTTCCGCCCCAAACGGTGATGTAATTATCTAAAAAAACAGTCATGGTAACCATGGTAAGCACGGCTGGTGATATCGGGCCCGTAGCACAACGATCCAGCAAGAGCCCCTGAGTAGCCCAGCATAGAGTAGAGAGCAAAGTTCCAGATGAGACTAAACTTCATTGTGAAAGTATTGGTGGAAGCTGGATTGTTGTTTCAGAGCATTGTTCTGTTTTATCTTCTGGTTGAGTTGCGCTTGGAATTTTCCGTCTTTGTATACCTGTTCGAATACACTGCCACATCATCGAGCAGGTGTCTAGGTGGATCTCGAAATACGAAGGCTGAAACACCACTTCCAGTATATGGAGGATGGGATATGTATACCTGTGGGTGTGTTATCGCAGAATAACCGATGGTGAGGCAATGCAAAGCTTTTTTTTTAGAGTGATTGGATCAAAAGAATATTTTAGACCCTGAAAGAGATGACAACTCCGATGCTGCGCATAATGTTCCCTGTTCGGTTTAGCCCGAGGACTCTTGCGGCCCGACCAATTTAAAGTTATAGGGCTGATCCTTGGAACCGTGCGAGTCTGACGTAACTCCAATACTGGTCAGCAACAGAAGGCATAGGACATATGGCGATACTACACCATATACTCTTCCTGGATAGAAAAGGAATTAGTGGAGCATGCCTACTTTCACTACATATCACCCAGCCCAGTTTCCAATGCTTGGTGTCCCGGGGCATTCGAAGGCATGCCGTACCTGCCGGCGGCGCAAAAAGGGCGTAAGTATTATTTATGCATATAATCAAAAATACTCGTTGTGCATTGGAAAATAGCACTTCTGTTGACACTAGTCCAAGCCATTCGTCTCTTTTGGCTGACCTGGCTACCTCTGTCGCTCTTTCCCAGACTGCCCGCGAGTCTTGTCTCGAAGGGAACTTTTGGACATCTTACATCCCAAACAGTCAGTCTTTCTCGATTTTTAACAATACCCAGCGCGATCTAGGTGGCTCTCTCTGTATACTTCAAAATTTCCTACTGGAAAAGAACATTATACGCACTGCTCTCGGCGCAATGGCACTCAGTACTGCAGCGGCAGCAAATAATAACAGCAACCAACACTGGATGAAATAGCAGGGAGCAAAACTGCATATTACTGCCTTGTAGAAAATGCGAAAAGCATTAAGCTCCGGCAAGAAGCCTAGTCTGGAACTTCTCGGTGCTACACGAGTATTCAGTCTCTACGAAAACATCTTATTTGATCTCCGCTATTGAGAGACAGATCTTTTTAAAAAATCAACTGTTGGCTAATGTGGTTTATTCAGGCTATATAAGGAGGTGACTAGCAGACCCAAGATGTACAATCCCGCAGCTAAATGATTCATCATTCTGGAGAGATTCATCATTCTGGAGATCTTGCGCTTATCCTTTCCAATCCACCATCATTCTACGCTACCGGTCCTGCTCACAGACTGTTTGTTGATGGGTGGCTTCCCCATGTATTTAATCTATACCTCGACGATATTGTGTAGCACTAATACATGTACAGGTAATATGTGCACTCAAGGAACGAAAAAAACACGTTTTCAGTGAGCCAGTGTGGATGACTTATCCTTGGATTTATCACCCAAAGACAGGAAAAGACCTAAGTGTCAATTCCCAAGTAACATGGCGACAACTGAAATCGCAAACGGACACATACTGACACTCTACTGGGCATCGAGTATCATCGCTTACGGGATCTCGTGCACCATTTCCGATGAAGTATATGATTCTGTCGGTGTTGGTCAGGACGATTGCTGTCGCAATATAATACGCTGTGTCCAGTCATTCCTACACCCATCTATCGGTGCCTTTCGTCAATGCCTCGTCCCTTTCCTTTCCCATTGACAATAGCAGCTCGGCACTTCAAGTCAACCCAACCACCGAAATTACAAGAGGAAATTGATTAAATCCAGTCATTATGTGAGAACCCAGGTTTTATACCGATGCATCAGTTTATGTCAAGCATGCAACCACAAATTTTGAGTGGGCTAAAGAAAACATCTCAACTCAAAATTGGGGGATAGATACTTATTAGCTGGCACTTGCTATGGCTCAATAATAGTCTTCAATTTCGCTTTTCTGTTATCCTATATATTCCATTTTTAGATAACTCATTTGAAAGAACTTCATATTGCTAGAAATGCTATCTATTAAGCAAGATATAATCGTCGTCGATCGTTATAATCCTTCATTTTGGGATGTTGCTTCAAAAGAGAGTAAGAACATAATTGCTTCCTTGTTTCGGTATCCTCAGATATTAGTGAAAATTGACAATGGCGTTCGACCGTACGAGTTTGGCAAGTCAACATCAATTTTCTCAGTATCAAGAAGCATCCCTATCGTCTCCACATTGCCATGACATGCAGAAGAGGTGAGTGGACTTTTGCCATCATTAACGGTGGCTTTAACGCTGATGTTATTTCTCGCGAGAAGTGATTTCTCGGGAGTCGGCCTTTTTCGATTCGCTACACTGATGGGAGACGTCTTTCCATCTATTTCCCACACCATATCAGAAGTATCGTTTGCCACCTCTCGTAATAATTTGACCAGATCGGTGTTGTTGCCTCGGATGGCAATGACAAGTAGCGATTCTTGTTCGGGTCAAACTTTTGCGGATATTGTAGTAAACAGAGCCTGGCCATATATTCGTAGCCCCCTCGGGCAGCCGCAATCAAACTGAAAGAATCCAGTTCCACGCGAGTGTCTGCAAGTAGAATCTGAGCTAGCTCCTTATTTCCGTCGTAAAGAGCTTGGTGGATGGAGATAGAGATATCAAAATACTAATAACCAATTACAAACTCAGATGGAATGAATCTGACACTGCTCTTCTACACAGTTCAGCGTCAACAATTCAATTAAACAATTATGTGTAAGCTGCAGGTCTGACATCGGGAATCGTGAAGGAATATAAGACAAGGACTCTGTTAGGTAGAGTCGAAGGGAAGAAGTGTTACAGCACTCCAAATGCAGCAGAAGGCCTTCGAGTCGTGCGAGAAACTCGAATACCAAGGTATCAAAGATGAAATTCTAAACCCGACATAGAAACGCCAGAAAATTATGCATCCTCTGACTGGATTGTTTGCTGCGAGTAGAGACATAGTTAGTTTGGGAAACCAGCAGGTTAAGTTGAGGAAAGAAACGAACCACCAGCCAATCCATTCCCTCATTAATACCCTTGCCATCAATGGCAGAGCAAGCGACAATACTCCAGTTTCGGTCTCGCAGCTCTCCCAGTTTCAAAGCCTCCGAGATCTCGCCTGCACCCTTGGCACCGGGTTGATCCTGTTTGTTGGCAAACACTAGCAATGCCGCGTCGTGAAGTTCCTCCTCATTCAACATGGCGGCTAATTCATCTGCCGCGGTCCCTAACCGCTCAATATCTGTGGAGTCGATGACGAAGACCACAGCGGCGGTGTTGGCGTAGTAGCATCGCCAGTATGGGCGGATAGAAGTCTGGCCACCAAGATCCTAAAAGCCAGGAATGTTAGTTATGACCCGACCTGACACGAGGTTATGGACAGATAAAACATACCCAGACATTAAGATTGAGATTCTTATATGTGACTGATTCGACGTTGAAACCGATTGTAGGTATCGTGGTGACGACCTCACCAATCTGTGGGCGTAAGTTGTCAGCTCCACGAATCTCATTCAAATGTGCCAGAGAACCAAAGTCCCAAAGCCACAATATCTTACTTTGAGTCTGTACAGCAAAGTAGTCTTTCCAGCGTTATCCTAAATCATCAAAATAATGTTGGTTAGTTTCCTTGTCACACTAATGAGGCCCTGCTTTCCCCGCGTGGAACACATCGAGACACAACGTACAAGCCCTAGAATCAGGATCCGGATTTCCTTCTTGGACCAGAGAAGAGACCAGATACGCGATAGTGAACCTCCCATGTTGTGTATGATTAATCAGTGGGCGGGTTGTTCAATGTTGTCCAGTTCACAGGCTGTCCGGGCAAGTATGGAGCCAAGGATGATAGGTTGAGGGGCGCGCAAGTCGTATGGATTGAAACGAGGCAACCTTAGAAACTCGCTATGAGGTTACGATATAAGTAGAGAAGATAAAGATGAAAGAGAAGAAGGTACTGGTGGCAACCGCACTGGATGTTCTTTGGCCGATCGGCCTGTGCGGCGTGGGCGGTCAACCGGGGGATCATCATCTTGCGGGATTGAGCTCTCCTCATTTAGAAAACCCCATTGTCTTTTTCTCTCTGTCATATTCTGGACTTGTTTACCTTTATCGCCTTCTACACGGCTACCTCTCAATATCTCAAGTGCGAGTAGGGAACTCCAATCACATCCGGCGCACTCCCTAGATTTGCCGCGATTAGTCTCAATTGAAGACAGCCGACCACAGACCGATACCATCATGGTTGGAAAAAAGTCGGGCAAGGCCCTCCGAGATGAGGGTAAGATAACCCGACTGAGGTGGTGGAATATGCCTGTCAGCAACAGAGTAGCTAATACTTGACATAGGCCTGGAGCGGACTGACAATAACATGGAACTATCCAGCTGGCCGCAGATCCCAGCAATCAACCAGAAGAACTACTACACGTACATATACCTGAGCCGATATCTGCCGCATGGATTCAATGCTGATTGCGCTATATAGTGACTACCTGAAACGAGATGATCAAAACCTCGCGTTCCGACTCCAAAACGAGGAAGCAAGGACAAAAATGACCAAGAAAGCGAAGGATCACGACCGTGCCCTCGCTATGGCCAAGACTGAGACCGCGGAAGGCGAGGGAGAAGGAGATGGCGACGCCCACATGGAGGATGCGGAGGAGACCCCGACCGAGATGGCTGGCTCCAAGGTTATTATCATCCATATGGGCAGTCAGAATCTCCGGATTGGACTTGCTAGCGACGCACTGCCGAAGACCTTGCCAATGGTGATTGCGAGAAAAGCAGCCACTAGCGAGTCCGAAGACCATGATGAACCTAAACCCAAGAGGTTTAAACACGATGATGGCTCTGAAATGGAGCCCGAGAAGGCCTTTGGATCTGAAGTATGTCTAGTGCAATTCTATTGAGATGGCTGTGTACTAATTTTCCTGCTAGTGGTCGTCTCATTTCAATCGCATGTCTGCAGATTTGAAGGTGCACATGCGACAGAACAAGCG